TATACACGATGTCACAGTACTCAAGTAGAGGCAGTATGGTAGCTTTTATCAATTCCAAACAGAACATTGGGGGGAAGTAGTGCTTGTGTCGATACTAAAAAACAATTTTTATTTTTGTCTTTTTACCAATATAATCAATGTGATCTTCAAAATTCAGTTTTGAATCCAGGATGACCCCAAGATACTTATAGATCTTGACTTGCTCTATTTGATAATTATTGGACAGGTTGAAAATATGGGCTATAGGTTTGTATATTAGGTGACCAACAGTTAGTAGAGCAAAGACGGGAATACTATCTGCTCCGGTAGAGGAGCAGATAGAGGTAGGACAGTTGTTTCAGAACATTACTTTCGTGGATTGGCTGGAAACTAAATTCGTTTAATATTTGGACAGGGGTATAGGAATTTGCATGAGCAGGGGTGACTCCCAATACATTATCAAAAAGATTACCAATTTCAGAAAAATGAAGGTTAAAATTGTCGACTGTTTTTTGGGGCTCTGAAAAATAGTCCCCATTTCGGTTAAGCGCAATGGGCAGATTGTCTGTTTTGGATGCCTTTTCGATACATTTGATTTTTTCCAGAAAATCCTGGCATTTCCATGTGATTCCAGGAGAGTGGAGGAAAAGTAGGCATTTTTGCATGTATTTTTTTGACGCATATATTCCTTAAAATCCTGTATTCTAGGCAGTCATTGACAAAATTACTTTTCTGACCACATGCCCAAGCGCTGTCTCTAGTTTTCATGAGCTTTGTAATCAAATGATCACACCATGGTGGGCGGTTGCTTTAGTTTTAAATCTAACCAACGGAGCATGTTTGTTAATAATTTGGAGAAACGTGTACCTTAAGGTCTCCCAAGCCGTAGTCAAGTTGTGGATATCACAGACCTTGTCAATATCCGAGTGAAGCAGATCATTAGTAAATGCCTGAGTGCTGAAGTGTCTCATAGAGTGCTTCTCAACCAATTTCGGGGGGACTTTGGGTCTGGCTGATGATCTCACCCCAAAAATGAAGGAGTGATCACTAAGGTTACTACCCAGAACACCAGTGTGAAATTGTGAGGGGCATTTGTCAATAGGACGTCAAGCAGAGATGACTGTCCCGGATTTTTTAGGTTGGGACTTGTGGGGCCATTTATTAATTGAAACAGATTAAATTCATCTGCAAAATTTGTGGCCATGGCCGGCGGGTTTAGCCATTTCCAATTTAGATCACCCACTAAAACTATTTCACCTTTAGGGAGGCCCCCAAAAAGCTCTCTCAGTGCAGATGCAGCTTCAACATCCTTCCCACTAGGCGGTCGATAGCAGCACACTACCAATATCTGTTGATTATTTGGGAGAGTTATTTTGAGAGCCAGACCTTCAAAGCAACATTTTTTAAACAAGGAGTGAGCTAAATTTTGATTTAAAGCTTTCGTGACTGCAGTAATTCATATTCTTAGCTCTTTCGGTAAAGTCACGTTGAAGGGAAACAATAAAATATATATTTTATTATTTTATTGTGTCCCTTTAACGTGACTTTAACGAAAGAGCTAAGAATAAGGAGTGAGATAGTGAACATGCAATAGTATTACAAACATAGATGGCAATTCCACCTCCTTTAGATCCTCGGTCAAGCCGAACAAGGTTATAGTTGTCAATCGCAATCTGCAAGTCATTGACGGCAGGAGTGAGAAATGTTTCTGTTAGGCAAAAAATGTCCGGGTCACGATTTGCCACTTCTAGTTTTAGTTGACTTAATTTAATCACAAGCCCTCTGATGTTGACATGTAGAACACCAACACCTTTCCTGCCAGAAAAATCTAAAGAATTACACATACACTGAGGTACCCCCCCTTGGAATGGAACTCTCTACAAACTGAGGGCACCCCAATGGGCTCCCCCCTATCTCCGGTTATAGCTAACATTTTCATGGAGAAATTTGAGACTGGCGCCATCCAGACTGCCACTCTGCGCCCAACCTTATGGAAGAGGTATGTGGATGACACTTTTGTCATCTGGCCACATGGCCGGTCTGCTCTAGACCAATTCTTCGACCACATCAATTCCATACACCCAGCCATCAGATTTACCATGGAAGTCGAAAAAGATAGCAAGCTACCTTTTTTGGATGTCCTAATAAAAAAGAGACCTGATGGTTCAATGAGCCACTGTCTACAGGAAAGCTACCCATACAGATGCTTATCTGAAACCGGATTCCCACCACCATCCATCACAGATGAATTATCTCATCAAGACTCTGTACCATAGAGCCCAATGCATATCCGACCAGGAACACATAGGCAGTGAACTCAAGCACGTACACCAAGCTCTTAAGGCTAATGGTTACTCCGACTATACAATCGGCAAAGCTATCACTCAAACCATGAAGAAGGACCCTCTTGAGGAGCCTTTCAAAACCATCACTTTACCCTACATTGCGGGGATCACAAAAAAGATCTCCAAAATCTTTAATAAACACAAGATCCAGGTCCGTTTCAACACATTACATAAAATCCGTGATCTGGTTCCGTCTGTAAAAGATGTGATTCCGGACATACAGTACCCTGGTGTCTACAAACTAAGTTGCCTCTGTGGTAGTAGTTACATTGGAGAAACCAAACGCCATGTCTCGGACCGCATTCGTGAACACAAAGCAGACCTTAAACACGGTAGGACCAACATCTCGGCCGTGGCAGATCATTGTTATAATTCAGTGGGCTCACATGACATTGACTTTTCCAAGACAGAGGTTCTTTGTAAGCCATCTGGCTACCATGAGAGATTCGTTCATGAGGCTATCCACATATACAAGCACAGAGACAATTTCAACCGAGAAGATGGATTCTGGCTTAGCAATCATTGGAAGGATTTGATAAACCATTTCAGGTCTTAATTGATTGTTCACGCTTACGGTGGCTTTCAGACAGCATACATTAAATTTTCGTCTCCCCCCTCCTCTTTTAAGAACATAGATGGACTAGTCCTTCTAAATAAATTGCCAAATCGCTGCGCGTGGCGCTGACGTTTCTTATAAAAAAAACCGTAAAAAAATTAATTAATGCAAACCGCCACTTCTTTCAAATGTTTCTTGCGGTTGGTTTTTCACACCTGATGACGACCGTTTGTGTTATGGGCGAAACGTCGTGAGAATTTTTATTGTTTTATATATATTTTATTATTTCATTTTTTCCCTTCAACGTGACTTTACCGAAAGAGCTAAGAATATGAATAAGAATTATACGAGTTCTTTTCATTTGGGCCAGGATGAAGCTCAATACCACCCAGAAATAAGAAAGTAGAATTAATAGTTTGCATAAGTAATTTCTGTGAAAGGATGAAGGGCGCGAACCTTGAATGAATAGCAGTAGCTCGCAGATGGTGTTATTTTTAAGAGCAGAATGAAGTTTGGAAGGAGTGCTGGTGAAGTAATGGGAGAAAGATAGGGTTTAAAAGTATACAATGATGGAGTGTAGAAGTGTCTATGAGCTGTTTCGTTAGCAGGTGCAGTGGCAAATCGAGCAACAAGTATGGACGCAAAGTAACGAGGGTAGCTGTTTGTAGAGTTGAGTATGGCACTAGATATGGCCGGGAGGGACAGCAGTAGCATACACAGCAGAATTGCCATCTCTAAAATATCCAGGGTAAACAGATTAACACACAAGCGGAAAAGAAAAAAGATATATACTTGTAGGCCGAGCGCGAGAAAACGTCTTGCTGCACTCGTCACACATACACGTTGTGTATTAGCGAGGCTGTGTTGTGCATTCGTGGTGTTGTGCGTTGGTGTTCTTGTGGTGTGCGTTCATGCTGATGTGTTGTGGTGTTGTGTGTCAATGCTATATGTTGTTCGGTAAACTTGTTGTTTTGTTCGTCAGTGCTGTTGTGTTGTGTTAGTGCTGTATGCTGTGTTGGTGCTCTTTGTTGTGTGTTTGTGTTGCAGCCAGCCAGAGCCGGCGCTACCAACAATATCCCCAAGGTCTGTGGTCCTATATTGGGATTATGTCAATACCGCATTGACAGTGGTGCACAAATAACAAAGAATAAAAAGACATTAGTGAATGCCACTGCTGCATTAAAATGTATCATGGGCGATGTTTCAGGCAATGGTCCCTTCTGCATGGCATATGTTTAGCCAGCTCTATGGGGGGAAAGCTGAGTACCCCGAGAGAACCAACGCGTGCAAGGGGGTAACATTTAATCCGCTAGAGATGGATATTTCTCCGCTTGCTGCGCCGTCCTACCCTTGCCAGGCCAGGAGATGGCGATCTCAGCGCCCACGGGGAAGGAGTTTCACAACATTTGTGTGGCGATTCAGCAACCCTCACTGCCGCCTCCACACACAGTGCTGTTACAGGCAGCCACGTGCAGCCGCTCCAGATACAGGGCGTGTGGGGATAACACGATGTCCGCCGTGTGGCAAAGAGGTCACCTGAAGATGATCTCAGAGTCAGTTCTGTGACTTCCCCTTCTTCAGGCGATGTTGCGCTGCGACAAAGATCCCCCATATAGCCTTACCAGATTGTAGGGGAAAGTGATGTTAGTAGCGAGTAGCAACAGAAGCGCCTATGAAGGGCGGCACTGTGCGACACTCATTAACTTACCACCCCTCACCCCACCTCACCACGATGCCCTCCATCTGGGGACGAGGAAGGCTTTGTAGGGGGCTGGGTGGAAAGGATTCGCAGCAGCGGGGAGAGCGACGGCTTAGGAACGAAGAGGAGGAAGTGGAGCAAAGGGAGCGGGGACGCAGGGGAACCCAGTCTGGCCTAGACACACTCATGTGCACGCTCACACCGACAAAGATCCCCCGTATAGCCTTAGCAGACTGTTGGGGCGAGTACTGTTAGCGAGCACTTATGCAGGCCGGCACGGCACACGAGGGGTGGGTGACCAACACCACGCCCGGCTGCCTTTGTCTCCCTAGTGACGATGTTTACACAGCACCGGGTACTCATTTGAGGCTAAGTCGACTTTGGGGAGGCCCAGGGCCGGTTCTGATAATCGTCACTCGGGTAATCGGCCTCGGGTCGCCGGGTTCGTACGTAGCACCGCGCTAACCGCTGCGCCACCGCTCCCCCGCTGTTACAGTGCCGGTACTGTCCCCGGGCAAGATGGCTGCCCGCCTCCACGTGACTCGGCGCGCGTGACTGTCGCACTCAGCACGTGGTGTCATTCAGGGCGTGGTCTCGCGCCGTTCCTGCTCACGAACTCGCTGCTGCGTAAGTCTTCGGGCCTTTCGTGTACAGCGTCTATTGGTCTCTTGTGGGTCTTTGTGCGAGTCGCTGGCTATCTTTAAAGGGTATCTTCTGGGTCTTTGTGCGAGTCTCCTCTGCGTCTCTGTGTGAGAGTCTCTGGGTCTCTGTGCGCGTGAGTCTCTGGGCCTTGTGCAAGAAACAAAAATGGAGCCTGCCAATGACCCCTCTCCTCCACGTGGCGTGGCACTGCAGCCACTCCCGGCTCGTGTGGGCCCGTGCAGTTGCACCGCCTGCACACGCGGTAGTCGACACGGCCACTGGTGGTGTACCGCGTGTTCATAATTTTCTGTACTTTATAGTAATGTCCCGAATAGGAAAATAAAAGTGATTGTTTATAGCACAGCCTACATGCGCGTGCATTTTGTGTTTTAGTGTTGTCCTTGCTCCGCACACTCCGATTAGCACCGTTGGCTACGTCGAAAGGAGTTCAACACAATACAAGTTGTTTTACTTTCTACATCCGTTAAAGGAGCAGATGACGGCAAAAGTAACAACTAAAGTCTCGCGTAAGGCAGTGTGGCGCTCACAGGCAGACACGCCTTGAGTTCATGTGCATAGACAGGAGTCTCATTGACATACATTTCTGACGGGGAGAAACAGCGGCAACTCGAATCTAAACCATTTCTGGGGGCCTCCCTTAGGTCAGTTCGGCCTTAAACGATTACCCTATTTGCTGTGCGGACTTGGGAGACAAAGACGGCTGTGATGCTGCTTACACGACCACTAACATCACGCTGCTGGCCTCTAGAAGCTCTTACGCCGCCCTTGGATGTTCAGAGCTTAAAGTAGCGAATTGAGTCCCCGAAAGATCTGAGCAGGTCATAAAATAAGCGGACAAACTCCGAATAGTTTTTTACGCTTCCCATCGTCAACATCTGCCATTGTATAATTTTCAAGCATCATTGGTTCAACACAAGCAGGTAATAATTGTTTCAATACCACCAGGTAAATTAGTTGCTAGATGTACTGTTAATGTATGCAGTTCATAGGTTAAAGAATGTATTAATCTAATGGGTTATCCATAATAGCAATTTTTCTGGGTTAGATCGCGTAAATGTGTCGTTAAAACCCGCCACTAGTAAGGGTTGTTACGTAAACAGAACATGCCAATTCGTTACGAGTACAGCACACCAGTGTTGGAGAGTAAATCCAACAACATTTACAATTCGAGTACGACGTTTCGCCAGTAAATACAATTAGCATCATCAGGTGACATCCAGATTTGTAGAGAAGTCCACCTGTTTTGTTTTATATAGAGGCGTAGATGTGGTGACCACGCTTCTGCGCCCTTGCGCAAAGGGGTGCATTGAGTCAATTTACATATTGCATGCGCATTATGCGAGCCCTTTGATTTTGTCCTTCCTGTCGATTGTCTGTATTAAATTAGCTGTACCAACAGTAATCCTGGCCTAAACCTGCCCGTGCCTGGAGCAGAGCACGTGGAAAGCACGTGGTGAGGATGTCGTCATCCTTGGACACAGGCGCTGCGGGGATGAACTCGCGCTCTTGCAGATGCTGCTTCCGAAACTACACCCTGGCGTGTGAGTTCAAGCTACACCCTGGCGTGTGAATGTAATATAAGGCACCAGCAGCTTGCAAGCGTGGACTTTGAATGCTTCTGCAAAGGTCAAGAGGTCATCGGAGCCTGTGGTGTTGGTTGCACACACGCGCCATCGCTTCCTTCCATTTGCCAGAACCCTCAATGTCTATGCTTATAGCATCCCTGCTGTTTGTTGGTCTTTTTCCTTAGTGCATTAACCCCTGGGTTGCCACTTCCAGTGATTGAAAAAACAGCAGCCAACAGTGACGAGTGGTTGCTAAAATTTGTAACACTTTGGCAAATGAAAAACATTGGCCACGAATTACCCAATAGGGGCGCTATGGTCTCGATGTTAACTACCTCGCCTGGTATACAGGAGGTCGTGGGTTCGATCCTGACCCTGACGCCTGTATATTTGGAGTTTGAATGTCTCCCCATAGTCGCATGGAATTTTCTCCTGGTCCTCTGGTTTTTCCCTCCACATTTATGAACATGCGTTTATAGTATTTGGGCTGCTATACATTTCCACATGATAATCTACTTCGTTGAGCTATCATTTTTGATATCCAGGTTGCTTCTGAATAAGAGCCACAGCTCAGTGGACCTTACCTGGTAAAATGAAAATCGTTCGTTTTTATGTCGTTTTCAATTGGTGCAGCCAAGAATGTTTTGCAGTGGTTGACACATCGTTTTTGTGTCCTTTTTGATTATCCACGTGCGGTTTGTCTGATTTGCAGATTAACCGAACACCTGAGATTTTGGAATAAATTAATAATGTATTTTCCCTTAAGCCCAAATTCATAATCTAAAACAGTTATACATTGATATTCTTGGAATGTTTATTACAAGTCACGTGCTTAAACTGAACAAATATGTTGCTCCAGGTTGTTCTGAAATCCACGTGATCGTCTCTACAGTTCAGCAGTTGCATATCTTTACAACAGTGGGTGGAGTTTGATCTTGATTGGCATGGCTTTGCTGCTGTCTACTTAGTGGGCCGTGTTTTCTTTGCGGGAGCATCCGAGTGTTATCACTGAGTACGCGCATCATCGATCGGTCGATTCTTTACTACACAGTTTTATTTCGTAAACAAACTCATTTCTCTTAACTTAAACATAAGTTATATCTATATTCGTGGTTTTTGGCATAGAGGTCCGCGAAAAATGTTTCTTTTTGTCCGCGTTTTTGAATTATCCGCTGCCATCCCCGTCATTAGCACGAATAATAGATCGTCTACCGTACTTTATTAGCTGAAGTCCAAAGAAAATCCTGAATGAATGACAATCAGGTCTATGATTGTCATTCAGTTATAGACGTGATTTTCATTCAATCAGGTCTACGATTGTCATTCAGTCATAGAGCTGATTGAATGAAAATCAGGTCTACGATTGTCATTCAATAATAAACATGATTGAATGAAAATCAGGTCTTTGATTGAAACTAAAAACCTGGATGAACAGTAATTCCAGACTCGAGTTTGCCCCCTTAATCTGCTATGATGATGAGTCGCCGCTTTCAAATGGGAAAAAGCCGACACTGTTTTTGCACGTCAGCTCCTGCCTTAGCACTTCGTCCATGCCTCCGTCGTGATTTTAAATTTGTCCGTTTCCCAGTGGGGCCTGGGGCATCAAACAGCCGCCCCTACCTGCTGGTGTGCGGACATGTCTTTTGTGGAGCATGCCTGCAGGACAAAGGCACACGCGCAGGCTGCGAGTTTGTGTGCCCCACCTGCAAGGTACAGCTATTACAATTGTATAGCAACGTACATATGGTTATGTGCACGCGCGCGTACGAGTGTATGTATGGGTGTGTGTGTATATCTGCCTGCATGTGTGCGATAGTGTAGCGGTTAGCCCGCTGCGCTACTAACCTGGCGACCCGAATTCGATTTTCTGAGCCGGTCCCGGGCCTCCCCTAGGTTTACTCAGTCTCAAATGAGTACGTGGTGCAATGTCTAAACACTGCCACTGGGGAGACAAAGGTGGTCGGGCGTGATGTTGGCCACCCACCCCCTCGTGTGCTGTGTGGGCCTTCATCGATGCTATTCATTAACAGCACTTGCCCAAACAGTCTGTTAAGGCTACACGGGGGATCTTTGTCTTTTGTACATGAACGTGTCATCAAAATGCCTCTTGGCTAGTTGCGCATGAAGGCCCGAGTGGCGTAACTGGGCGCTACTGCAATGGAAAAAACAACCTGCAAATATGAGCCAAAGAGACTGACTAACTAACCCTTTGCGTTTCCAATTATATACATCCAGTTGTTAACGGTGAAAACTAAGTTGTACAGGAATTGACAAATATCTTTGGCAAGTGACCACAATGGATGGATGCGAGTCAACTAGATAAGATGCCACTTGCGTCTGTCTGTGATTCGCGGCGACGAGTTTTACTCGATGCCATGTTTGCAATCGTTTCCTTGTATTTGGCAAGTGTTCGGAGAGAGAGAAACAGTGACACCATCTCTTTGTACGCTCTTTTTTTAGAAGAGGCTATTGCTTTACATCGTAAGGTTAAACTACCAAACTGTCAGTTTAACACGTAGCAGGCTTTCGCGACCAATATTATCCATAAGAGGTTTTTGGGTTATATTGCGTAAATAGAAATGTCGTTAAAGCCCCCACCACCCGACATAGTTAATTATTAAGGTTTGTCACGTAAACAAAACATTCCAATTTGTGACTAGTGCAGCACACCGGTGTGTTGGAGAGTATAAAGGTGTATTGAAAAACAGTAAAATATCTTGTTATCCGGGACTCTACCATCTGGAATGCTCTTAACTAACCAGTATCTGTCGTAGACGGCAATGGAAATCTTTCTTCATGTACAGACAATATCCGGGTTGCGGAATACCCGATTATGGAAATCTGACCATACGGAAATGCTTCCATAAATCATGTAAGAAAAAAAAATTCAATCTAGATTTGAAGTTTTCGTGACTGCAGGAATCCATACTCTTTGGTTCTTTCGGTAAAGTCACCTAGGTATAAAATAAATTAAATCACGACTTTTCGGGTGCAACACAAGCGGCCGTCATCAGGTGGGACAACCACAGCAGGAAACAATTGCTGAAGTGGGCAAAAGGGCTGCTGTAACAAGAGGCTATATAGGTAAGAGAAGGGGGAGGAGCCAGGGAGGAGCGATAGAGAGGGGGGTGTTGGGTAGGGGGAGTGGAGCGCTGCCAAGTGAAGCGCTGCTAGAAGGGATTACCGTATCTTCCCGCATATAACCTGCGGGGTATACCACTTTTTACAAACAAGACCCCTGCGGGGTATATGGAGGTGCGGGCTATCCCAAAAATATTTTACACGTGTGACATGTGATAACTCGTTGAATTTTTTCATTGTAGGACTATCCACTATGCAACACTTAACTTTGACTAAAGCACTGCTGAATAAACCACTCAACACTAAAATTGCACATGTTATCACGTTTTAAATTAATTGTTTGTACAATTAAACGACTTTGAAGTGCGTGCACTGTTCACCCGCGATGGGATAGCTGGGGGGAGAGAGAGGTGGGGGTTGGGGGGTGGGGCATCTGCGGGGAGAGAGAGGTTGGGGGCGAGGCGACGGCGTTACCGTAGCGGCGCTATTATCTGCGCAGTGCGCAATATAACAGTGCTAAACCTGTACTTATCTACCAGTTGTGTTACTTATTTATTGGATATTTACTTTTGTTACTTATTTACTGTTTTAAGTTCACTTGTTTCCGGTTAGTTTGTGCACGTTATGACTTTAATGTTAACAATTTATAGTGGAATGTATTACAAATGTAAACTTCATATTAATATGATGGAATTAAGCTGCGGTAACGACGTTAAATATATGAATGCATGCGGGGTATATGGAGGTGCGGGCTATCTGAAATTTGTTTTACACAAAACGCTATTTTTGCGGGGTATATGCGTCTGCGGGTTATATGCGTATGCGGGCTATATGCGGGAAAATACGGTAAAGGGCGAGCACGGAAAAATGCCGTGGGGGGGGGAGAAGTGAGCGAGGCTGGGAGTGGGAGGCTAAATAAGACTGGAGATGCAGATATGAAGGCAACACCATAAAGCAGTTAATGTTTTACCTGGTTAATAACATCCTTCCAATGATTGCTCAATTTGTATACATCTTCTCAGTTGAAGTTATGTCTGTTTATATATCTGGATGGCTTCATGAACAAACCTATGATAGTAGCCCGAAGGTTTGCAGGGTACCTTCATCTCGGAAAAAACAATGAGAGCCCACAGCGTTATAGCAATGGTCAGCCACGGCGGAGGTATTCTGCCGTGTTTCAGATCTGACTTGTGCTCACGAACACGGTCCAAGGTATGTCGTTTCGTTTCCTCAATGTAACACGAACCACAGGTGCAACTTAGTTTGTAGACTCCAGGATATTGCATGTCAGGAATAACATCCTTCACAGATGGGATTAGATCACGCATTTAGTGTACTGTGCTGAATCGGACCTGGATCTTGTGTTTAAGATTTTGGAAATCTTTTTGGTAACGCCTGCTATGTATGGTAACGTGATGGTTTTGATCGGCGTCTCAGGGGGTTGTTTCTCCATGGTTGGAGAAACAGCTTTGCGGATAATGCAGTCCGAATGCCCATTCATCTTGAGGGCCTGGTGCACAGTGAGGGAAAAAAAGTATTTGATCTCCTGCTGATTTTGTACGTTTGCCCACTGACAAAGAATTGATCAGTCTATAATTTTAATGGTAGGTTTATTTGAACAGTGGGAGACAAAATAACAAGAAAATGTAGGTGACATTTTTGTCACTTGGCACATGGCCTGCCAGCATTGAACCAATTTCTCAACCACATTATTTCCATACACCCATCCATCAAATTCACCATGGAAATGGAGAAGGATGGTAAGCTACCATTCCTGGATGTTATGTTTGAGATGAGACCTGATGGCTCGTTGGGACACTGTCTACAGGAAAGCCACCCACACAGATTCCTATCTGAAACCTGATTCCCACCACCATCCGGCACAGAAGAATTCCCTCATCAAGACACTACACCATAGGGCCCACTGCATTTCTGACCAACACCACCTACCCAGTGAACTGGAACATGTACAGCGAGGGAAAAAAAGTATTTGATCCCCTGCTGATTTTGTACGTTTGCCCACTGACAAAGAAATGATCAGTCTTTAATTTTAATGGTAGGTTTATTTGAACAGTGAGAGACAGAATAACAACAAGAAAATCCAGAAAAACTTACGTCAAAAATGTTATAAATTGATTTGCATTTTAATGACGGAAATAAGTATTTGACTCCTCTGCAAAACATGACTTGGTACTTGGTGGCAAAACCCTTGTTGGCAATCACAGAGGTCAGACGTTTCTTGTAGTTGGCCACCAGGTTTTCACACAACTCAGGAGGGATTTTGTCCCACTCCTCTTTGCAGATCTTCTCCAAGTCATTAAGGTTTCGAGACTGACGTTTGGCAACTCGAACCTTCAGCTCCCTGCACAGATTTTCTATGGGATTAAGGTCTGGAGACTGGCTAGGCCACTCCAGGACCTTAATGTGCTTCTTCTTGAGCCACTCCTTTGTTGCCTTAGCTGTGTATTTTGGGTCATTGTCATGCTGGAATACCCATCCACGACCCATTTTCAATGCCCTGGCTGAGGGAAGGAAGTTCTCACCCAAGATTTGATGGTACATGGCCCCGTCCATCGTCCTTTTGATGCGGTGAAGTTGTTCTGTCCCCTTAGCAGAAAAACACCCCCAAAGCATAATGTTTCCATCTCCATGTTTGACGGTGGGGATGGTGTTCTTGGGGTCATAGGCAGCATTCCTCCTCCAAACACGGCGAGTGGAGTTGATGCCAAAGAGCTCCATTTTGGTCTTATCTGACCACAACACTTTTACCCAGTTGTCCTCTGAATCATTCAGATGTTAATTGGCAAACTTCAGATGGGCATGTTTGTGTGCTTTCTTGAGCAGGGGGACCTTGCGGGTGCTGCAGGATTTCAGTCCTTCACGGCGCAGTGTGTTACCAATTGTTTTCTTGGTGACTATGGTCCCAGCTGTCTTGAGATCATTGACAAGAGCCTCCCGTGTAGTTCTGGGCTGATTCCTCACCGTTCTCATGATCATTGCAACTCCACGAGGTGAGATCTTGCATGGAGCCCCAGGCCGAGGGAGATTGACAGTTCTTTTGTGTTTCTTCCATTTGCGAATAATCGCACCAAATGTTGTCACCTTTTCACCAAACTGCTTGGCAATGGTCTTCTAGCCCATTCCAGCCTTGTGTAGGTCTACAATCTTGTCCCTGACATCCTTGGAGAGCTCTTTGGTCTTGGCTATGGTGGAGAGTTTGGAATCTGATTGATTGATTGCTTCTGTGGACAGGTGTCTTTTATACAGGTAACAAGCTGAGATTAGGAGCACTCCCTTTAAGAGTGTGCTCTTATTCTCACCTCGTTACCTGTATAAAAGACACCTGGGAGCCAGCAATCTTTCTGATTGAGAGAGGGTCAAATACTTATTTCCCTCATTAAAATGCAAATCAATTTATAAAATTTTTGACATTCGTTTTTCTGGATTTTCTTGTTGTTATTCTGTCTCTCACTGTTCAAATAAACCTACCATTAAAATTATATACTGATCATTTCTTTGTCAGTGGGCAAACGTACAAAATCAGCAGGGGATCAAATACTTTTTTCCCTCACTGTACGTGTTCCAGTTCACTGGCTAGGTGGTGTTGGTCAGAAATGCAGTGGGCCCTATGGTGTAGTGTCTTGATGAGGGAATTATTCTGTGTCGGATGGTGGTGGGAATCAGGTTTCAGTTAGGAATCTGTGTGGGTGGCTTTCCTGTAGACAGAGTGGCTCATTGAACCATCAGGTCTCCTTTTAATTAGGACATCCACAAAGGGTAGCTTGCCATCTTTTTCGACTTCCATGGTAAATCTGATGGCTGGGTGTATGGAATTGATGTGGTCGAGAAATTGGTTCAATGCTGGCAGGCCATGTGGCCAAATGACGAAAGTGTCATCTACATATCTCTTCCACAAGGAAGGACTTAGGGTGGATGTCTGGATGGCATTTGTTTCAAATTTCTCCATGAAAACATTCGCTTTCACTGGTGATAAGGGGGGACCCATGGGGGTACCTTCATTTTGTTTGTAGAAAGTATCATTCCAGGTGAACTAAGTGTTGGTAAGGCAGTGTCTAACCAGAGTAGGAACATCAGGGTTCAGTCCATGTTGGACTAAATTTTAAATTATTGCTAAGGTGTCAGGTACAGGAACCTTGGTGAACAGATAAACCACATCAAAGCTGACGAGAAAATAATCTGGAGACAGTGAAATGCCCTTGATTTGAGAGACCAAGTGAGCTGAGTTATGTATTGCTGAGGTCGTCTTGCCAGTGAATGGAAGCAAGGTATCAGAAAGAAAACGGGCCAGTTTGTAGGTAGGTGCGTTTCCACTATCAACTCACCTTCCTACAAACTGGCCCGTTTTCTGTTTCCACTATCAACTCACCTACCTACAAACTGGCCTGTTTTTTGTCTGATACCTTGCTTCCATTCACTGGCAAGAGTATCTCAGCAGTACATAACTCAGCTCACTTGGTCTCTCAAATCAAGGGCATTTTATATTCTTTGGTTCTATTGGGTAAAGTCACGTAGGTAAAAAATAAAAATAAAAATCACGACGTTTTGGCCACAACACAAGCGGCCTTCATCAGATGAAGGGACGAGACTGTCTGGAGGACAGCGCTGGAGTGAAAAAAGCTACGCTCAGATCACGACCTTTAAGCTGTGTGAGAAGAAACAAAGCACCTTGACAAAGGAATTAGCATATAATTTAGCATTGAAATGGCTCATTGAAATAGCTAAGTTAAAGTATAGACATCCGCAGAGGCACCCCTTGACAAAGGAATTAGCATAGAATTTAGCATTGAAATAGCTGAGTGATTAGCTTGTAACTGGTCACAGAAATAGCTATGTTAAAGTCAGAGCATATACATTCACCGAGGCACCTAGTACAAATCAAACAGGAGAATTTAGCGAAACACAACCACGCTCAGACCGCGGACCTTTAAACTGTGTGCGAGCAAACAAGGTGTCCTGACAAAGAAATTAGCATAAAAATTAGCATTTTATTGGCCGATTTTAGAAAAGAGGTGGTGTACGTGCTGGTGGACTTGCCGTTTGGCGCGGGAGGGGGGGGGGTGGGAGGGAGAGTTTACCTATTGATGGTGTGAAAAGGGAATTTATAAGAGCTGCGAAAGTTTGGGGTACCACTACTTGAAAAATATACTGTACCATTGAAATTAGTTTAATGTTTAGTTCGATTTAGAACATCTTTCCAATGGTTGCTTAATTGAAACCATCTTCTCGGTTGAAATTGTGTCTGTGTTTGTAGATCTGAATTGCCTCGTGAACAAATCTCTGATAAAAACCCGTGGGTTTACCTACGTGACTTTACCCAATAGAACCAAAGAGTATGGATCCTAGCAGTCACGAAAGCTTTAAATCTAGAATTCAAGAGCATTTTATTGTCCCCAGATGATTTTCTCGTCAGCTTTGATGTAGTTTCTCTGTTCACCAAGGTTCCTGTACCTGACACCTTAGCAATATTTGAAGAGTTTATCACCTTTTGGCGTCCTCTGGTCTAACACCGTTTGAGACTAGGCTCGAAAGAAAGCTGTCTCTGGTGTGGACCAATCAGTTTCAAAGACAGTGCATAATATATCAGTGTTTTTTGTTTGCATTATGACCACAAGTATTATGGTTAATGCAGACAGGATTCCTTGTTAAAGGTTTCAGTTTGGTGTTTTAACATCTTAACACCTGTTTTGTTGCCAGAAAAAAGGGGAAAACCTATTCTCAGTACTCTATACTATATACAGTGTAGGCTTACATTATGTTATATGTGTGTCGTGAGTTATAAGTTTGTAGTGGTGACGTAAGTGTGACTCTTTGAGTGAAGTGGGTATACGCCATGTGCTGCCTAACCTAATGTTGTCTCACTGTACTGTACTACTGTACTCTCGAAACAGCCCCACTGCTTTTCTACAAGCAACAAATAAAATGCTCTACAACTGACTGGTGAATACCTCTGTAAAAATAAGATATTATTTCTTACATCAAAGTTAAAATTTGGGCTGTTTCTTTAAAAGTTGTATGCTCTTGGAAAATGTGGTGAACCATTAATATAACCCAGATATCATGGATTCCGGATACAGAGATTTTCCTGTAGACAGCTGCGTAAATTACACCACTGCCGATTCAACCACTAACTTTAAGTCTGGGCACATTTTGGATGAATGTGGAGAGGAGAGTGGCGAGCATTATCCCATACTCAGATACCACACTCGCTTGCAAACATGAGTCAGAGGTTTACATTTTTTTAAAGAAGTTGATAAGAGTTGGGAGAGCTGCGCACATTACGGATTGGTTGAGAAAAGGACGCTCCTAAGTTTTCACGTGGTCTTGGTGTGGTTATGTGCCGCCGATTGTGCCCCGAGCGTGGTGCAGATGGTGACCAGGATTCCTGGAGCCGGTGGCCTGTCTCAGCTGCCCCTGGATTTCTATTCACTTGGAGTTGTGGCCGCATACAAATACTCGTGCGGTGTCCTACGGTAATGATAATTTACAAAACTGGTTTAACTGGCCAAACGTCCCCAATGCAGCAGCACCCACCTGAAAAACTAGTCTTGAGGATTTGCGAGCTCAAGGAAGAGTGTGATCATTCCTCATTGCACAGCGTCTTCAGATGCTGTCGCTAGTCGATGCTTTGATGTTGTGGCAAATGGCATAAGAAATAGGGCACGTTCCCATCCTGCTAACCTATCATATTCCCAAACACATCGCTTTCTCCCTGGTTCTTTTTTTTTCTGAAAGAGCCATGCTATTTTTTCTGAGCCTTTTGACCTTTTAAACCTTCAATAATATTGTTAACGATTCAACCACTAAAAACTCGGTGATTTTTGTGTAACGAAGCTACAGGTTCATAAAAAAAACATTGTCGACACTTGCTTAATGGTTGTAATTTCAGGTTCTAAGTGTGATTTGGAGGCTTTGGATCACACAGAATCATCAGGATGGGAATATGAAAGGATGGGAATGAATCATCAGGATGGGAATGTTGCCATCGTTTTGTGAGTAAAACCGCCATTTAGCAGATGGGAGTGACCCAGTTACTTTGTTTTAGTATATTTTCTGTTACTTTCAACCGAGTTAAAATCAAGTAAGTCTATAACGGGAGGAGATTAATTCTGAGTGAATAGAGAATTGAATATCTCAAGTGTCTGGTAGTGTATATGTTAACGTTTCTGTGCAGTGGCTGGCACGGGGTTGATGTTTTTATTATAAATGTGCTCATATAAAATACAGAGGCCTACTGTGCGCAAGCGTGCACAACTGCACAACTCCTCTCTTTGTGCCACTAACTGTTTCCCGTCCCCCCACTCCCCACGCCTCTCAGGTCCAAACAAAACCTTGGTGGGAGCCAAGTGAAGTCGCATCATCTCTTGGATACGGATGGAGGAGGAGCCCTCACGAAGACCCGGGGGATCCCGGACAATGTCCGCTTGAACCTGACCAGTACATGTGGTGGGGGGATAGTGACACGCCACCACATTTGACGTACAGAGTTGTTGATGCACGTCTATATGATGTGATAGTATGAAAAATACATGGGAAGCTTTTTTACGTGTTGTATTATGATTTTGTCGTGAAAAACTATAAACTTGTGCAAGCTCAATAAGTTATTTTGTTATGGCTAGTACGGTTACCATTGTAAGCTCACCAGATCATGCATAGCAGCTTCACTCATCATTCTAAAAACCTAAATTTGATGAGGCTGTGACAATACAATAGAACATCGATTACCCCATGCCCGATTATGCGGCTTTCAACATCCGGTGGTCCCGGGCTTATCCGGCGAACCTACATCATAGCTGATGATGGAGTTGGATTTAAACTCTGAATAGCCACCTCCAATTCATGCAGAGTCTTTGAGATTGGAGTGCTAAGTACAGTACAGTAAATACACTATTTATAGTAGGATATTTTATTTTTGTCTATTTGTATGTTTATTCATGCCAATTTCATAGGAGTAAACAAATGTAAAACACTTGAAAAACTAGCGAGGTTTAAGGAAACAATGGGCAGGGCTGATTGATCAACAGTATGGTGGCGGCGGTGGTTTTCACTCTTCGGTTCTGTTGGCTCCAAAGTGTCTTGCCGTGTGGACAGGCAAGCGAGGAACCCCCACTGACCGACTGACGTACTGACGTGTGGATGGCCGCCGCCACTGTTGTCGGCTGCATTTCAGCAGGAAAGGAGAGGCGCTGTGCCGAATGCGAGCGGCAAAAAGCCGACCTGTCCTGCAAGCATTGCCAAGAGGACTTTTGCGACTCCTGCTTTAAGAAGGTAATTATCAAATGTGCTTTAACTGTGTAGGCTTTTGCAACCAATATTATCTGGTAAAAAAAAAAAAACCTCTTATGGATCAGACGTGCTAGTTGCAATCCATCGCACTTACGGCCTCTCGGTGCAATCTACTTGGGTATACACGCTTCAGAGTGAGTGTGCCTTACACCTTATTTGCAGTATAAATCCCCCTCCTACACACTTTTCACATGTCACTTCCAAATACCTGATCATTTCTCTCACTGCTAAAGAGCATCATACAAACTTTAAAACAGACACTGGACACGACTAGGACAAAAATCTAAATATTGTGAGCGCACACGTGACATCCCGATGGAATACCGTACTAGGCGTCATCCACCGTTTCTATTTGATTCAATTGTGGCAAACGTTGCACAAGGCTTTGCTGCAAGTCGGATCACCTTCACAGACAAGAAACAGACAGAGTTGGCTGTCGCTTGATGAGGCTGGTTGTTGTAATTACTGGCGAAAACGTCGCTGTTACTCGAATTGTAAATGTCGTTAAACCCGCCACCACCACATGACACAGCCAGTAAGTAAAGTTTGTCATGTAAACAAAACGTGCCAATTAGTTACTAGTTCAGCACACCTTGTGTTGGAGAGTAAACCTACAATATTTACAATTCGAGTACCGTGACGTTTCACAGGTAATTACAACAAGCAGCATCAGGCGAGTGGTGGCTGGTTTAACGAAACGTTTATATTTACACAATCTAAGCCAAAAAACCTCTTCTGAATAATATTGGTTGTGAAAGCCTGCTACATATTTAGATGCTGTACAAGTTGTAATTGTGTTCTGTATGTAGGTGTCTGTTCTAAACCATTTGCTCTTTTAAAGTAATCTACTCCCGCTTGGTAAATTTCCGAAGTCTACATAGTCAACCAGAATGTCTCTGCTCTATATTGCTGTTGGCTTCACGTACCCAACCTCAATGTGTGTTCTCCAGATATTGCCTATTTGCAGTTAGCTTGGATGTATTTTAACTTTCTCCGGCGAAATTTGTACAAACAACACAAACTCAGTCAAGACTCCAGCGTGAGTGTGCATCACCTAAACTCTTATTTTTGCATAAGTCTGAGATTGCATAAAGATAGATTATTCGATAATAATTTAATAAAACTGGGAATTAAAATTAAGGAGTAAGGTTTAAGTGGCGGTGAATGTTTCATAGGAGTTGACAGTCACGGTGTGTACCTGTGCTGGGGACTAATTATGTTGGGAAGGCAAGTCCTTCAGATTGGGTGGCTACCTTTGTTTACCTGTGTACCCTGTGTGTGACACTTGTGTACCTGCGTACAGTGATGATGTTGTGAAGGCCGGTCTGAGATTATAGTATTGCGTGTGTGCACGCGCGTGTGATGCGTTTTAGGTTCACGGAAATGCGAAAGTGCTGAAAAACCACAAAGTGAACAAAATTTATCCCAGTGACTGGTAAGTGGTGGCTAGAAGATATTAATTACCTCGCCTGATATACAGGAGGTTTTGGGTTCAATCCTGATACATTCATATATGGAGTTTGTATGTTCTCCCCGTGGTCACGTAGATTATTCTCCGGGTCTTCTGGATTTTCCCTCATTTAGAATAAATGTCACGCGTCTAGAGCTTAAAGAGCTGCATAGCTTAGTGTGCCTTACCTGGTAAAGTAAAATAAAACATATTTTCAATTGTAGCTATTAATGTTTTTGCAGTGATTTACACGTCATTTGTGGACCCTGATACTTCACAGCAGTCATGTGGCCACATGCCCATTGAAAGTGAGGTTGCGGTCTTGTAGGGTTCCCTACCCCCTGCCTTGAACCCTATAGCCTTAACCCCTTAATTATCATGAAAACTGAAAAACTTGCATGCCTAAATACAGTAGACCCTCGATTATTTGCGAGCGGTTTATCTGATTTGTGGATTAATTGCGCATCTGAGATATTGATATAAATTAATAACTCAAGGATTTCCCCTTTAGCACAAATCTTAACTGGAAAACTGTTGTACATTGTTATTCTTGGAAATGTTTATTACAAGTCACTTGCTTAACCAAAATCCATGTGCTCGCCTCTACAGCACAGGAGTTGCAGATGTTTACAACAGTAGGTGGAGTTTGATTGATCTTGATTGGCGTGAATCTGCTGCTGTCCACTTAGTGGGCCGAGTCTTCTGCACGGGAGAAGGAAAGTGTTATCACTGAGCACACGCATCATTGATCGGTCGATTGTTAGTATTCTAAATCGAAACGGTAACAAGCACAATCATTAGTTGTAGTTATTTTGAGTGATTTATCCAATCATTTATTTTTTTAGTTTTAATTTACGAAACTGCGTGATGGCAGAGATACTTAAATATAATTAATACCTAAATCAGTGGTTTTTGGCACAGTGATCCACGGAAAATGGATATTTTTGGATTTTCCATGATTTTTAATTATCCGCAGCCATCCTCCCCGTCGTTAGCACGGATAATCGAGAGCCTACTGTCGTGATGTGACATCGGGGCTAGGCAGTGGCACGTTGGACACTTTTACAAAGGGTTTCATAGAAAGGTCCCTGGCTTTGAGATCCGCTCTTGGGTTATGGTTGCTCTTGACTCCACCAGGGCCCTCAGTGTCATCCGAATGCAGCGGTCCCACCCATGAAGCCGCTTAAAACTAACGATTGAAACAATTGTTCCCACTGAGCTATACGTTATTTTTCAGAAGCGTTTTTAGATTATTAATTTGGGCTTCAGGGAAAATGCACAAGTTGTTAATCTATGTCAAAATCTCAAGTGAGCGCAGTTAATCTGCAAATCGGATAAACCGCACGTGGATATCAAGAGTCCACTGTACTTCTCGGAGCACCTCAGTCGTGGTCTCAGTGTAGTTGTGAAAAGTTGGATAAAGAAACCTTGGAACCGAGGATCTTTGTGATTTCCGGCTCATTGCTCCAGGTTGTCCCTTCGTCTCCGCTTCCTGGCCGCGTGCCGGTGGGAATGTTACCTGTTCATGATCTGTATGTATGTCGATGCAAATGCTTGTTATCTATGGCTGTTTATATTTCTGGCAGCCAAAAAAACTAAATAAATGACGGATTCTTTATTCACAAATAACATGAAATAACGTGCAATAAAGAGATAGTTTTTTGGTGCAGCTTTTAAAGGTTGACAGTGTTGATCGGTCTTTGACGTGGCTATTACCGCAGTGAGAATTGTGAGGTGCACGGTAAGCCGTATGCGTACTGCTGCGAGCTTGGTGACGGTGGTGGCGGTGGTGGCAGCGACGTTGCGTGCACGGATTGCATCTCGGATTCTGAGCACAGCGAACACGACCATACTCTGCTCGATGCCAAGGTGAACTACCACCGACGTTTGCGTGCGTGTGAGACATCGAACGCGAGGTCGATTGAAGTGCCCCGCTTGGATGTAATGTTGCTCATCTGGTGCTTTCTAGCCATATCGAGATTAAAATATGAAGAAAAACATTTACGAATATCGGCAACACACCAAAATATAAAGGAAAATCGCGCAGTAGCATAATCTAAATTCTAATAAAGTAAAACGCGTAGGTTTTTGCTACCAATATCCCTAATAACTAATTGGCTGTATCGGGTGCTGACGGGTTGAACGACGCTTTTATATTTGCGTGATCTAACCCAAAAAAACCTCTGGTGTAATAAAGTATACGGATTTACCTGAGCGCAATCTTGGATCGCAACTTATTCCTGAAAACGCCTTTCTCACACCTTGAGCCAGGCTTCCAATGACAACCGTTTCGTTGCTGCCCATTGCAGAAGGAAGAGCTGAGCGTGCAGCTTCTCAAGGCCATCGTGGCGGGCCAGGCGGGGGTCTTAAAACTGAAGGAGGCGCTGAGAGTGAGTGTGGTCGCTGGCTGCAGCGATGCTGCATCATCTTCATCATTGTCGTTATCATCGTCATTATCGTTGTCAACGTTGGCATCGTCGTTATCGTTGTCATTGTTGTCATCCTCGTCATTGGCCTCATCGTTGACACCGTTGTCGTTGTCATCGTCCTCATTGTCCTCGTTATCGTCAACCTCATCATCATCATAGTCCTCATTGTTGTCATAGTCGTCATCGTCCTCATCGTTGTCATCATCATTGAGGCGGTTGTCAAAGTCATCATCCTATTTGTCATCGTCGTCCTCAACAGCCATGATCGATCCACAGCTGGTTTACCGCCCAGCAGTTGTTTTTGAGATGGAATCCGCTGCTTGTGTTTTCTAAGTTATAATTTACTTTTGGCTGGCCACGACCAAGCAAAACACTTGAGACGTATATCTGAACGTTTTCACAAACCCATTGTAAAGTAACGGAGAAGTTTAACAATTCTATGCAACAACGATCTCATTATTTGTGCGGATTTAATAGCGTCGATTATTGTGCGGCATCCGGGTTTAATCGATGTGTGTGAAAAGGCTGAATTGTACGCCTTTAAGTGTGGTGCAATGTCAGGCACTGCTATGCAAACATTGATCGTCCTGGTGTTTCAACCGAGCTCACGGTGCCTTTGGCTATGAAAGTGGCTGGTGTAATTGTGGCTTCCATGACAGGAGTTTGAGAAGCTGCAGTCTGAGCTGCAGCTGCAACTTCACACAGTGGTGTGCAGCATCCATGGGAGCATCCACTCGCTGTGCTCCATGGTGCAGGCCCGGTGAGTTCAACGTTCCACGTGCACACATGTACACTCCGCTCTCGTTCCACCTGCGCGCGTTCATGCCGCTTGCTGCTGCTTAGCGTCTAGGTTTTGTTTGTTCTCTGCTTTGCCCGTGAAGTCATTTTTATATTTGCTTACACGTTGCTTCCTTCTGGCACAAATTTTCCACGCAGAGTGCCAATGAGAATAAAATGAACGTATGCTACCTATAGTTTACATTATGAGACCTCCTTTGCCAGTAACAAGATATAAAATAGGTTTTACCCTTTTAACTGTCAGTTTTTGTGCCAGTTAAAAGGGTAAAACCTATTTCTATATCTTGTTACTGGCAAAGGAGGTCTCATAATGCAAATGCTCACCCCGAGCCCTCAATACTCTGATAGTGCGCTGTTTTTGAGTTGTACGCCTTTTGGCATCTTCTGGTCCAACACCAGTGGAGACTAGGCTCTAAGAAAAGCCGTCTCGGGTGTGGACCAATCAAATTCAAGGACAGTGCATATTATTATTAGAGTTGTCTCTTTTGTTTGCATTTTGACTGCTTGTGTTGTGGTTATTGCAAACATGATGCCTTGAATAAAGGTGTCAGTTTTTGTGCCAGTTAAAAGGGTAAAACCTATTTCTATCTCTACCTATAGTTGCATTACGAAAAAAAAAAACTTTTTACTTATTTTGTTAGACGTATGTTTTCAAACCCAATATTTAAATTCAGAATAGATTTTTTTTGGGTTGGGCCACGTTACCAAGCATCTGACCAAATCAGTGACGTTGAAATCCTCTACTGCCACGGGTACAGCCAAACAAGGGAACTCGTCAACACGTACGAGCTGTTGACGCCCCTACATATTGTTTCAGCTCGGTGATAAGTGGAAGATAAATCCTCGCAGACAAATTTTGGCAAATCCTCGCAACAATCCTGAATTGTTCTTCCAACTACCTGGATTTTATCCTCGCGATATTTGACGTCGTTACCGATGAAAGTAATTTTTTAAATAAAAATTGTTTGTGGGAATTGTTTTAACGCCTCTTTATTCGTTTTTTTATTTGTACATCAAATAAAAATGATTTTTTTTCAGCATTGGTTGATAGCTCGGCCTTACAAGCAGCAAAATATATTGGTAAGAGTTTTGGGCGGTAGCCTTAGGAGCAGAAACAATGAAGCTTACCTGACTGACTTCTAGTTTCACATTGTATTTTGCACCAGATAATTTATCTTTTTTTTTCCCCTTCCCCACTGTTTTTGCCCACGTTTATCTTAACACACACACACGAGCCTTGGCCGATAATGGTTCCTGAGGCCGTTTTGGATCCCCAGGCTTGGTTTGTAGATGGTTGATTTATAATACAATTAGTGGGAAGTATCCGGCATTGCCCGGGGGAAAATATATATTCCAAAAGTTCTACCAAAAACAACATTCTTTACACAAATACTAAGCTATTGTCAAAGCCCGGTGTGCTGTTTTTCTGTCCATTTGTTCGTCAACAATATTATAAGAGGCTTTCAGAAGTCCAAAAAGTTATAGAAAGTGGGGGTTAAATAGTTGATCTAAAAGGTTTCTGAACATTGTCGACCCCCCCCCCCTCAAAAAATATTTTTACCCCAGTGTAGGCATATATACCTACACACCCTACATACAATAGTGAGTAGTATCTAGTGACTCTATAGTAATATTTGACTCTACAGTAGTATCTGGCTCTACAGTAGTATATACTGACTTTGTAATATCTATTGGCTCTATAGTCGTATCTACTGACTATAGTAGTATCTGCTGACTCTGTAGTTGTATCTACTGACTGTATAGTAGTATCTTCTGAGCCCAGTAGTAGCTACTAACTGTATAGTAGTATCCACTGACTATAGTAACTCTACAGTAGTATCTACTGACTCTATTGTATCTTCTGACCGTAGTAGTATCTACTAACTATAGAGTTTTGATTTAAAGCTTTCGTGACTGCAGGGATTCATATTGTTGGTTCTTTCGGTAAAGTCACGTAAAAGGGAAACAATTAAATTATAAAAATATAAAACAATAAAATTCTCATGACGTTTCGACTGCAACACAAGCAATCATCATCAGGTGTGAAAACCACAACAAGAAAATTTGAAAAAAGTGACGGTTATTTTTAACGTTAGCACCACGGACAGCGATTTGACAGTTTGTTCAGATGGACAAGTCCATCTATGTTTGGAAAAGAGGAGGGGGGAGACAAAAATTATGGATGCGGTCTGAAAGCCACCGTAAGCGTGAACAATCAATTAAGACCCGAAATGGTTTATCAAATCCTTGCAATGATTGCTAAGCCAGAATACATCTTCTCGGTTGAAATTGTCTCTTTGTTTGTATATGTGGATAGCCTAATGAACTAATCTCTCATGGTAGCCAGATGGCTTGCAAATAACCTCTGTCTTGGAGAAGTCAATGTCATGTGAGCCTACTGAATTATAACAGTGATCTGCCACGGCCGAGATGTTGGTCCTACCGTGTTTTAGGTCTGCTTTGTGTTCACGAATGCGGTCTGAGACATGTCGTTTGATGTAATTACTACCACAGAGGCAACTTAGTTTGTAGCCCCCGGAATCACATCTTTTACAGACGGAACCAGATCACAGATTTTATGTAATGTGTTGAATCGGACCTGGATCTTGTGTTTATTCAAGATTTTGGATATTTTTTTTGTGATCCCTGCAATGTAGGGTAAAGTGATGGTTTTGAAAGGCTCCTCAAGAGGGTCCTTCATGGTTGGAGTGATAGCTTTGCGGATTGTGTAGTCGGAGTAACCATTAGCCTTAAGAGCTTGGTGTACGTGCTTGAGTTCACTGGCTATGTGTTCCTGGTCAGATATGCATTGGGCTCTATGGTGCAGAGTCTTGATGAGGGAATTCTTTGGGGATGGATGGTGGTGGGAATCCGGTTTCAAGTAAGCATTTGTATGGGTTGCTTTCCTGTAGACAGAGTGGCTCATTGAACCATCAGGTCTCTTTTTTATTAGGACATCCAAAAAAGTAAAGATTCGTTCATGAGGCTATCCATATATACAAACAGACAATTTCAACCGAGAAGATGGATTCTGGCTTAGCATTCATTGGAAGGATTTGATAAACCATTTCGGGTCTTCATTGATTGTTTACGCTTACGGTGGCTTTCAGACCGGATTCATTATTTTCGTCTCCCCCTTCCTCTTTTCCGAACATTGATGGACTCGTCCATCTGAACAAACTGTCAAATCGCTCTCCGTGGTGCTAACGTTAAAAATAACCGCCACTTTTTTCAAAAATTTTCTTGCTGTGGTTTTCACACCTGATGATGATTGCTTGTGTTGCAGTCGAAACGTCGTGAGAATTTTATTGTTTTATATTTTTATTATTTTATTGTTTCCCTTCTACCTGACTTTACCAAAATAACCAAGAATATAACTATACAGTTGTATCTATTGACTCTATAGTAGTATCCACTGACTATACTAGTCACTGCTAACTCTATAGCAGTATCTACTGACTCTATAGTCGTATCTACCGACTCTGTAGCAGTATTTACTGACCGAAGTGGTATCTACTGACTGAAGTAGTATCTACTGACTCAATGGTAGTATTTGCCGACTCTATACTAGTATCAACCAAATCTATAGTCGTAAATACTGACTCTACAGTAGTATCTAATGACTATAGTAATATCTACTGAATCTTTAGTTGTATCTATTGACTCTAAAGTAGTATCAACTGACTATAGTAGTAATTATTAACTTTATAGTAGTATCCGCTGACTATAGCAGTATTTGTTGACTATAGCAGTATCTACTGAATATATATTCTTGGTTCTTTCGGTAAAGTCACGTTGAAGGGAAACAATAAAATAATGACACCTGATGATGACTGCTTGTGTTGCAGTCTAAACGTCGTGAGAATGTTATTGTTTTGTATATATTTTATTTTATTGTTTCCCTTCAACGTGACTTTACCGAAAGAACCAAGAATATGAATCACTGCAGTCACGAAAGCTTTAAATCAAAATTCTACTGAATATAGTCGTATATACCGACTCTACAGCAGTATATACTGACTTTAGTCGTATCTACTGACTATATAGTAGTATCTACTGACTCTGTAGTATTAACTAACTCTGTAGGAGTAACTTCTGACTATAGCAGTATCTGCAAACCACGTGTTCACCTGCACGCAAATATGCAGAGGCGGTGCCCCTGGTTACAGTGCTGGTGCTGCCCAAAATCATGAGTTGCCAATTTCTTTTATCTGGCTTGTGCAGGGGTGCAGAGCTCGTTTTTCAACTGAAGGACATCGAGGTTCGGCTCCACCCCATACTGACGAGAGGAGCGAGCGTTCTTCACGAGTCTCTCTTGTCGAACTGCGTCACCCTCGACACTGCCTGCAGCATGGCTCGGGGCCAGCAGTTCTCTCCGCGGGATGTGCAAAAGGCACGGACGTATTGATTTTCTGCGCGCATTCGGTTGCAGTAAACATGGCTGTCTCCGCCTCTCCGACGGCGAATAACCGTCAGTTAGTGTCTTCACCGTGATTGGTATCGTGTCGACGTGTTTTGTGCAGGTGGTAGACCAGCTCCTGATGGACTTCCCAGATCTGTGCTCCATATTGCTGGAGGATTCGCTGGAGCTGCAGTGAGTACAGCTTTTGAGATGCGGCTGCTCGCAATGCGACCGTTGAGTGTGCATGCGGGGACGCCTGTGAATTATACCTTCACACATGAGCAGCTTCTGAGGTCAAGAGGTCATAGTCAATTTTACTGACACCACAGTAACCTCCGCTGTTTGTTTTTGCTGGCTCCTGTGTATTTTGTTCCAGTGTCAATGCCTCACCTTGCTGCATTCCTAGTCTGATCACCAACACCTCTGGGTGTTGCTCTGTCCCCTGTCTAGGTCACTGCTTGCCCCCCCCCCCCCACCCCTATCTAGCACATGTTGTCGTGCCCATTGCAACCTCTCTTTAAAGCTTAGATACTCCTCATACGCCTTCATGCCAGTGTCAGAATTTTTTTTCTTCTATAATTGCTTTGATGAGGCAAATATTTGCTTGTTTTATTCCACGCATGATTCAAAGCTACGGTGAGCATTTTCTCTCTTGATTTCTCATTTAAACCATTTATCCAAATGCCATGCTCCTCCTGCCTGCGTCTATCTTGCTTGTAGTGAGGGGAGATATTGGCGTTGTGCCCACCCCCGTATCAGGGGGATATTGGTGTTGTGCCCAGGCCCTTATCAAGGGGGATATTGGTGTTGTGTCCAGCCCCGTATCAAGGGGGATATTGGTGTTGTGCCCAGCGCATTATCAAGGGGGATATTGGCGTTGTGCCCAGCCCCATTTCAAACGGGATATTGGTGTGTGCCCAGCCCATTATCAAGGAGGATATTGGCGTTGTGCCTTGCCCATTATCAAGGGGGATATTGGTGTTGTGCCCAGCCCTATATCAAGGGGGATATTGCGTTGTGTCCAGCGCATTATCAAGGAGGATATTGGCGTTGTGCCCAGCCCCATATCAAGGGGGATATTCGTGTTGTGCCCAGCCCAGTATCAAGGGGGATATTGTTGTGCCCAGTCCCGTATCAAGGGGGATATTGGCGTTGTGCCCAGCCCCGTATCAAGGGGGATATTGGCCTTGTGCCTATCCCATTATCAAGGGGGATATTGGTGTTGTTCCCAGCCCATTATCAAGGGGGATATTGGTGTTGTGTCCAGCCCCGTATCACGGGGGATATTGGCGTTGTGCCCAACCCCGTATCAAGGGGGATATTAGTGTTGTGTCCAGCCCCGCATCAAGGTGGATATTGGTGTTGTGCCCAGCGCATTATCAAGGGGGATATTGGTGTTGTGCCCAGCCCATTATCAAGGAGGACATTGGCGTTGTGCCAGCCCCGTATCAAGGGGGATATTGGCGTTGTGCCCAGCCCCTTATCAAGGGGGATATTGGTGTTGTGCCCAGGCCCATATCAAGGGGGATATTGGTGTTGTGCCCAAGCCCCTATCAAGGGGGATATTGGCGTTGTGCCCTGCCCCGTATCAAGGGGGATATTGGCGTTGTGCCCAGCCCCATATCAAGCGGGATATTGGTGTGTGACCAGCCCATTATCAAGGAGGATATTGGCCTTGTGCCCAGCCCATTATCAAGGAGGATATTGGCGTTGTGCCCAGCCCATTATCATGGAGGATATTGGCGTTGTTCCCAGCCCTGTATCCAGGAGGATGTTGGTGTTGTGCCCAACTCCGTATCAAGGGGGATATTGGTGTTGTGCCCATCCCTGTATCCAGGGGGATATTGTTGTGCCCAGCCCCTTATCAGGGGGATATTGGTGTTGTGCCCAGCCCCGTATCAAGGGGGATATTGGTGTTGTGCCCAGCCCTGTATCAAGGGGGATATTGGCGTTGTGCCCAGCCCCGTATCAAGGGGGATATAGGCGTTGTGCCTAGCCTATTATCAAGGGGGATATTGGTGTTGTGCCCAGCCCACTATCAAGGAGGATATTGATGTTGTGCCCAGCCCATTATCAAGGGGGATATTGGCGTTGTGCCCAACCCCGTATCAAGGGAGATATTGGCGTTGTGCCCAACCCCGTATCAAGGGAGATATTGGCGTTGTGTCCAGCCCCGTATCAAGGGGGATATTGGCGTTGTGCTCAGCCCCGTATTAAGGGGGATATTGGTGTTGTGTCCAGAACGCGTATCAAGGTGGACATTGGTGTTGTGCCCAGTCCATTATTAAGGGGAGATATTGGCGTTGTGCCCAGCCCATTACCAAGGAGGACATTGGCGTTGTGCCAAGCCCCGTATCAAGGGGGATATTGGCGTTGTGCCCAGCCCCATATCAAGCGGGATATTGGTGTGTGCCCAGCCCATTATCAAGGAGGATATTGGCCTTGTGCCCAGCCCATTATCAAGGAGGATATTGGCGTTGTGCCCAGCCCATTATCAAGGAGGATATTGGCGTTGTGATCAGCCCCGTATCAAGGGGGATATAGACGTTTTGCCTAGCCTATTATCAAGGGCGATATTGCTGTTGTGCCCAGCCCATTATCAAGGAGGATATTGATGTTGTGCCCAGCCCATTATCAAGGGGGGTATTGGCATTGTGCCCAACCCTGTATCAAGGGAGATATTGGTGTTGTGCCCAACCCCGTATCAAGGGGGATATTGGCGTTGTGCCCAACCCCGTATCAAGGGAGATATTGGTGTTGTGTCCAGCCACCGTATCAAGGGGGATATTGGCGTTGTGCCCAGCCCGTATCAAGGGGGATATTGGTGTTGTGCCCAGCCCATTATCAAGGGGGGATATTGGCGTTGTGCCCATCCCATTACCAAGGAGGACATTGGCGTTGTGCCCAGCCTATTACCAAGGAGGACATTGGCGTTGTGCCGAGCCCTGTATGAAGGGGGATATTGGCGTTGTGCCCAGCCCCATATCAAGGGGGATATTGGCGTTGTGCCTTGCCCATTATCAAGGGGGATATTGGTGTTGTGCCCAGCCCATTATCAAGGAGGATATTGGTGTTGTGACAAGCCCCGTATCAAGGGGGATATTGGTGTTATGTCCAGCCCCGTATCAGGGGCGATATTGGTGTTGTGCCCAGCCCATTATCAAGGAGGATATTGGTGTTGTGCCCAGCCCATTTTCAAGGAGGGCATTGGCGTTGTGCCCAGCCCCGTATCAAGAGGAATATTGGCGTTGTGTCCAGCCCCATATCAAGGGGGATATTGGTGTTGTGCCGAGCCCCGTATAAAGGGGGATATTGGCATTGTGCCCAGCCCCGTATCAAGAGGGATATTGGTGTTGTTCCCAGCCCATTATCAAGGAGGATATTGGTGTTGTGCCCAGCCCCGTATCAAGGGGGATATTGGTGTTGTGTCCAGCCCCGTATCAAGGGGAATATTGGTGTTGTGCCCAGAGCATTATCAAGGGGGATATTGGCATTGTGCCCAGCCCCATATCAACCGGGATAATGGTGTGTGCCCAGCCCATTATCAAGGAGGATATTGGCGTTGTGCCCAGTCCATTATCAAGGAGGATATTGGCGTTGTGCCCAGCCCATTGTCAAGGAGGATATTGGCGTTGTTCCCAGCCCTGTATCAAGGAGGATTTTGGTGTTGTGCCCAGCCCCGTATCAAGGGGGATATTGGCATTGTGCCCATCCCCGTGGCGACTCCTCCCCACTCCACGCTGTGTCCGTATCAGTGGTGGGGCGACCTGCGGCCCGTCAAGCCCTCTCGTGGTCACCTTGTTCCAAGTGTCTTTCTCTCTCGGGCGATGAGTGGGGTCATGAGGAGTGCACAAAGTACCGTGTCAAGCCTGCGGCCCACTGAGGTGCAGGAATGCCGATCGCGTGACCCCACTGAGTTGTCCATCCACCGGTCTACACACTTTGCTCTTCCTCTAGACACTTGTTTACCCAAGTCCCTCCGTACCTGAGCCTGCAATGGTGAAAAAAGCGCTCGTGTACATCTTATTATTTATTTTCCCGCAGTCCATCATGCAGGTGCCTTCCAAACCTGGATCTTGTTGCCATGCTGCATTGAATGGGCCCCACAAATTTTACGGCTGGCTCTCCACTGTCACCCTACGACCTTTATGAGGATCACGTTGTGCCGATGAGGCTCGGTCTAAACCCATCCAGAGCTCGACCTCCTGCTTAAATAACACCAGGGAAGTGGTGGGTCCAGTAGGTGCCGTCGGCTGATGGACCAAATTGTAACCGTCACGTGTTGAAACGTTTCCTTGTCCTAATTATTAAAAAGTGATGCTACTTTAAGTACTACCATTTAATAATACACGATAGCACGGATACAAAAAGGTTTTTTTTCTCATTGCGTGTCCAGCGGTGGCATAAACAGTGTGCAGATGTTGAATGGGGAGTTGAGACCCGTGTGCTCATGCGCAGGTGTGACCTGGACCCTACACAGCTGATCGGCCACATTAAGCAACTCGGCACGATTATGTTCCCCAAAAGGTAAGCCGGCTCCTTTGAACACGGTTATTCAAACTCTTGTCTCATCAGTTATCGCTATATGTTTTTGTCTCTTTTTTTTTCCCATCACGTTTCTAATGCTGCAGGCGTTGATGTCACGCGACGTTGACTTGCGTCCGGGAACTTGCGCGGAAAGCAGCAGCACATCAAACCCGTGTTGGAGAGAACATCCTTTCTTGAAAGATGTCCAAACACTTTCTGTGATGTTCAATCGTGTACCATGGCTTCTACACCTGGTGGTGCTGCTGCCCCTCTTCTCATGCCCTGCCATGGAGAAACTTGCTGGTCGGCCATTAAATCCACTGTTTCTGCCTCGCGTTACCTAAACGTATGCTAAAGCGGTGGGTAATCTCTCTTCCCCCCCCCCCCCCCCCCCCCCCCCCCCCGTTGCCAGGTTCCTGGAGTATGGCGAAAACATGAGTGCGGCTGCTAGTTCAGACCGGTCTCCTGTAGGGGCCATGCCTCTTTCGTCGACGCAGCAGCTGCAGCGGGCTCACGGCAGCTGTGCCTCAGCCAGAGGCCACGCAGAAAAGGGGCCAATCATGCCTGGCTTTAAGCTCGCCCTGAACCCGCAGGTAAATTAGCAAACACTAGGGAGGGTAGTAATGCTCTCTGATACTGGGCGGTCAACAGATCGATTTAAAACCAATTCCTGCACTCAGGATGGATCTGTTTAGATGTAAGAGTATTGTTAGTGCGACATTTATGGAGGTTATGTGTTCCCATATATATGAAGAATGCAATTGTCACCGTTTGGCTTCTGAAGTAATCTTAGGAGAAACGAGATGGAACACTTGGGGCAGACGAATGAGGTAATCTGAATGAGATGTAAAATAATGCATCTTTTTATGATTTGCAAAAGATATTAAAATGCCAATTTAGCAAAGCAAGCATCAAGAAAAGATTAAAACGAGAACTGCAAACGACAAGTTTCTTTGGACATGCAACTATACCTATGTAGTGGGCTCAAACGGAGACTTGGAATTAACGTAGGAGGCAACACATGTATTAACATAACACTGTAACACAAAGGGGTAACTGCCCCTTTACCAGATAACCTATGGTGGTAGACCACCAGGCTAGCTACTCTAACACTCCGAGTAAGCTACCACGGACCGGACCCCCACTCGGGTCCGGGTCCTTGAGTTGGAGATCCTCTTCCCACATAGGACGTAGGTTTCTTCATGAAGACAACAGCAGCCAGTCCCACTGGGGACCCGGATTTTTATCCTGTGTGGCGGGGCTCGCTCCGCCCCTAGCCACGACCCCCTTCTCGAACTCTTGAGGTTCTCCACCGGACACGTGATCCCCCCAGCCCCCCCTTTGGGGGTCCCCGGGTAGACGCCTCTGGTCACGTGTCCTCCGGGTCCAACCAGAGTGCCATGGCCCCCCGCAACCCCGTTCCGAGGCCCACACTCTCGCCTCCTATCCTGTAGGGGCTGGCACTGCGCGTAGAGCGTGGTCCCATTACCTGCTTGTCAGTCAGTGCTGCCCGAGCCCCGCTAGGGGCTACGTGTCACGCCTTCTTTGGCGTGACACGTAGTTGGTCATAAATTGGGGGGTCATGGTCTCTGCCATACATTAAATAGAACAGCGAATAGCCCGTGGACGCGTGAGGATCCATTCGGTAGGCAGCCAGAACTCCCGGAACCTGCAAGTCCCAGTCAAGCTGGGACTCGCCAACTTGATGGCTCAGCATTGAAGTCGGAGTCCTGTGCAGGCACTCCACCATTCCATCTGGTGATGGCAGCTGCCGACTGGTTGGGCAGTGGCCAGGCCATTGGCCAGCGCGAGAAATATTCGACGCCATCCAGCAAATATTTATTTCCACGAGGGGTGGCGGGAATGGACCAAGGATGTCTATGGCGACCAACTCGTTAATGCGGGAGACCCAAATCGATTGCAAGGGCGGACAACAGGGCCTGGCCAGGTGTTTCCGCCATGCACACCGCACACACCCCTTCAACAAATAAGCTACATCCTCTGCCATACCTGGCCAGAAGAAGTCAAGCTGGAGCGTGGCAAGAGTTTTGTGCACGCCCAAGTGCAGCAGTCGTTCGTGCACTGCCCAAACAACCTGACCCCGCAGGGCAGTGGGCACAACAATATTGTAACGGCGCAAGCCGCCGTCCCAGCGCATATCAGCAGGCTGTCCCTCAGGACGATCGAGGCTACGCCCCTACGGTCCCTACCCCCATCTGTTTCCGTGATGCGGCGGTGCAATTTGACCAGGGACCTGGTCCTCATTCCGCGAGGTCCAGGCCAAGGCCGGCATCACGCGCCACGGGATCGTCGGTCACCTCGGAGGAGGCTACCTTAGCCGACGCCGCAAGAGGTGGGGGTGAGTCGTCGGTCGGCGCCTTACAGCGCCCCGAGCCCATAAAATACGCGCACCTGTCGCTTGGTGGTAAGCGCGACAGGGCATCCGTGTTCATATGCTGGGTACCTTTCTGGTTGGACACCGTGAAGAGGTGGTCCTGGAGGACCTCTAGCCAACGCGAAAGTTGGCCTTGACGACTGTTCAATCCGCAGCGCATACTGTAGCGCTGTGTGGTGAGAGCACACCGAAAGTGTCTGCCATACATATAGGGGTGATACAGTTGAACAAAAAAAACGATCGCCAGGAGTTCCCGGCCCGTGACGCAATAGCGTTGTTCGGCCGGTGACAACACCCTGCTACCATATGCAACAACGCACTCCACCCCGTTGACAACCTGAGACAGAACCGCGGCAATGCCGGTGTTGCTTGAGTCTGTGTCAAGGACGAATGGCGCAGTAAAGTCGGGGTAGTGGAAGGGAGGGGCGTTCACCAGGGCATCGCGGAGCACGACAAATGCGGCCTCCCCCCAATTAAACCTTTAGCTGCCAAGGCGTGGAGGGGTTTTGCGATGGTAGCGAACCTGGCGACAAAACGGCGATAATAAGACGCGAATCCTATAAAACTCCGCACCTCCCCCACCGACGGGTGGGTCGGCCAAGTCCGAACACACGCTGTTTTATCAGGGTCCGTCGCAATGCCTGATTTACTGATAATATGACCGACTTACCGCACGGATTTTTGAAGGAGGTGATACTTTTGCGGCTTAAATTTGAGATTCACCACCCACATTTTTGAGGAAAACAACACGTAGCCGACCAAGATGCTCTTTGAACGTACGGCTTAAGACGATAACATCGTCGAGGTATATTAAGTCCCACTGAAGTCCAGCAAGGACCAGCTCCATCAGTCATTGGAACGTAGCCGGTGCGAAGTGGAGCCCCATCGGAAGCCGATTAAATTAAAATATGCCCTGGGGCGTACGAATTTCTATTTTGGGGCTGGAGGCTTCGTCTAGTGGCAACTGCCAAAAGCCGGATAGGAAATCAAGGGTAGAGAAATAGTGGGCGCCCGCCAGAGCGTCCAGGGAATTGTCCATCTGAGGGAGAGGGTAAGCATCAGCCACAGATATCTTATTGAGCTTGCGGAAATCGACACAGAAGCGCAAGCTGCCATCATGCTTTCTAACAAGAATGATAGGGGCTCCCCACGGGCTGGTGGATGGTGAAATGATGTCTGCGGCTTGCATCTCATCCACTGCTAGCCGAAGATGCTTCTCTGCCGGGCTCAGCCGGTAAGGGTTCTGCCGGATGGGAGTGGCGTCGCCCGTGTCGATATGGTGGCTCAAGAGCGTAGTACGGCCGATGTAAAATTGGCCATGCACATCCGAGTGAGAGAGGGTAAAAATGCCAAATGACAGCCCGATGGCAATTCAATGCACCCTTGGTCAATTAGAATCATCACAGGCATTTTACCCAAGAAATCAGTCCCAAGCAAGCATCGAACGGCAAGGGATGAGGAGACGAGAATCGGACCGGTCAATTTAATGTCGCCAATACAGACCTGTGCTGTAATTTTGCCAATGATGCCAATGAGCCGCCATTAGCAGCAAAACACGGCACTTCCACGGGGCATAGGTTACGGCATTTATTGAGCAAAATTTTATAAATCAGCTGCTAATTGATGGTCGCCGACGCCCCATTATCGACGCGCATCCGAAAATCGATTCCCTCGATGGAATCAATAATGACGGACAAACCCGCGGTCACGGCAGCAACTCTATGGGCCAGCTCCGACCACTGACCCCATCGGAGCGGCCAGTCGGCCCCTCGTAGTCTGAACCCCCCCCCCTCATCGGCACACGACGAAAAGGAGAACCGGCGCAACGAGATGAGTGAGGTGGATTCAGGGGCTCGGTGAGTGAGGTGCCGCGACTCGCCTTAGGTTGCAGGGGAGAGGAGGATGGTCGGGCGGACGATGGCTGTGGTCCGGGAAGGCGACGTCGTGGCGCGCGGCATCCCGACGAGACGTGGCCCGGCAAACCACAGTTGAAGCAGACGGTAAGGCCGGGCTCCGGATGAGGTGACGTCCTCCTCCGGTGTTGGAAGCCGTCCTGTTGCACCATACCGTCCCGCCTTCAGCCTCCGCCCTGGGTCAATGCGCAGGCTTGGGCAGGCTCCAAATCCTTAGGTGTACCCTGCGCCTCACAAGGCGCGGCACACGCCACCAGTTCCGTCTCCCGTTGCAGGAGCAAGTGTGCCTGGATGCACCTTGCAACTTTGAGGGAGCACAGGTCGTTGTCGTCGATGGCGTGGATGACGACTTGCAGGTCCCACGCCAATGCTAGCAGCTTCTCGAGGACCAGGGAGTCGAGTCTCTCCTGGTCCATCCTGGGGAAGGCGGCCTTCGCCAACGCCAGCAGCATGCTGCGGAAGGCAAGGGGCGTATCAGCCTCCCCCCGCCTCCGCGCAGCGAACCGATGGCGCGTGTTGGACGGCGGCCCGTAAATCGCCGCCATCTGCTTGAGCGCCTGCTGCAGCATTGACCTGTGCCCCGGCGGGAAGGTGACCAGCGCCGCCAGGGCGGTGTCGTCCAGGGCGGCGGGAAGCGCCCTCAGTGCCCTCAGCGCCTCCGCCTCCGTCTCCATCCACCCCAACATCTCACAGTTGGAGAGGAAGCGCTGCTGGAAGACCACTCAGTCGCCTCCCGCGGCTGAGAAGTCCTTCATGACGGGTAGCCGACGCTGGAGGGATGGTGCGTGCGCCGGTGATCGCGGGGCAACTTCGATTTTGGCGGGAACTCCGCTCCGCTCTGCCAACAAGTTGGCGGCCGTATGCGCGGGCTGCGCAGCGGAGACTGCTGATTGGCGGGAATCCTGGGCGGAACCGCAGAGGCTCCCGGTTGGTGGAGAGTTTAGGCGGGAACTTGAAGAGTTCCTCTGGGAAACCCGGAAATATCGGCAGGAACTGCGGCCCCGCGCGGCTCCATCTCTCCCTCTTCCGCCGCTGACTCCCCGCGGTGGATCTCGTCCAGAATGGACGCCACGGTGTTGAGAAGCTCGGCGAGGCGGGAGTGCGCCGCCCGGAGCACCCTCCCCGACGGCGGTGAGCCGACGTGCGGCCGAACGGCATGATGCTCCATCGGCGATGCCTTGCCTCCCTCCTCCGGGGCTGCCATCCCCGGGGGTTGCGAGTTGTCGTCCTCTTCCTCCGGAGATCTGGCACGTACTTTTCTCCTAGTCTCCATCGCCTATAGTTATTTAACTAATGAACGTTTGGCCACTTCTGACGCCAGTTGTAGTGGGCTCAAACGGAGACTTGGAATTAACGTAGGAGGCAACACATGTATTAACATAACACTGTAACACAAAGGGGTAACTGCCCCTTTACCAGATAACCTATGGTGGTAGACCACCAGGCTAGCTACTCTAACACTCCGAGTAAGCTACCACGGACCGGACCCCCACTTGGGTCCGGGTCCTTGAGTTGGAGATCCTCTTCCCACATAGGACGTAGGTTTCTTCATGAAGACAACAGCAGCCAGTCCCACTGGGACTGGCTGCTCGCTCCGCCCCTAGCCACGACCCCCTTCTCGAACTCTTGAGGTTCTCCACCGGACACGTGATCCCCCCAGCCCCCCCTTTGGGGGTCCCCGGGTAGACGCCTCTGATCACGTGTCCTCCGGGTTCAACCAGAGTGCCATGGCCCCCCGCAACCCCGTTCCGAGGCCCGCACTCTCGCCCCCTATTCTGTAGGGGCTGGCACTGCGCGTCGAGCGTGGTCCCATTACCTGCTTGTCGGTCAGTGCTGCCTGAGCCCACTAGGGCCGGTACTGCATCCCCAATCAGCTGTGTCCGTCATTGAAATCCATTGCATGGTGTGCCTTTCCCAGGCTGGCCACATACAGCGACATGCAGCGATGTCGCTACACCTATAATTGGTTCCATGGGGGTCACATGGTCATCGTGGAATTGTGAAATCCAGCATGGCTGAATTGTCAACACATACATTGACATCATTTAGATTATTTTGGTGCTATAAATGTCCAAATGATGGGTCACTTTGTTGAGCTATCATTTGTGGCCAGGTTGCTTCTGGGATTTGCTTGGTAGGATGTGGGTGGTTTAATTGTATTTGTATGTGTTTTGGTGATTTGTTTACCTTGTACTTTGCACTACTATCATGTTTGTTTTGTTTCTTGTAACATTCTTACCTTGTGCTCCTACTGGACATCTATGAAAAAGAGTTTTATAGCTCATCAGATTCCTCCTGCAGTATAAATACATATTCTGACTGATATTAAGAGTACCAGATCGATTATGTTCTTGTGCACGGCAATGTGTTGAGCTCGATGCCAACGCCGTCTGCTGACCACGAGAGGGCTCCAGGAGAGAGTTGGTGCAGCTCTGCTATTCCTCCCCCCGTTGGAGCGCAGTTGACAGCTGTTTTTACGATGTGGTCAGTAGCTTTGGGGTTTGCCTTGGCCTTGTCGTTGTTCCGATGAACGAGTTCATACCTGTTTTGTTGTGCAGGGTCTGAAGCACTCGCCCCCTTCCACAGCGACGTGGTCCAAGAAGGGGGGGGGAGCAGTGTGCACTGCTGCAGCACCATCGTCCGCATCGCTCGCCTGTTGCTTTTCCCCAGGCACATCTGGAGGTGAGTCTGTCAGTCTAGGCAGGTGAACTCCCCCTCAGGCATCGGGGCGCTGCGCTAGCGAGATGTTATCTCCCTTGCCTGGTGTGCAGGAGGTCGTCATCGTGGGTTCGGTCGCGACGAGGTTTGTTGTGTATTTGGAGTTTGCGTGTCTCTCCCCATTGCCGCGTGGATTTTTTCTCCGGGTCCTCAAGTTTTTCCCTCCATTTAGAATCAACATCTTGCTTTAAGAGTATTTAGCTGCTGCTGTACATTTCCACGAGATCAGCCACTTAATTGAGCTATAATTTTTGGCCAGGTCGATTCTGAAAAAGAGCTATATACCAATACAAATATTATTTTTATTGGTAAAATAAAAATAATATTTTAGTTTCGGAGGGGATGCAGCCTCTCACTGGTTATTAATGATTGTTTTTATTTCAAATGCACTACTGCGGCCGTCTCGAACGCTCTTCCGATATGAAGCCAGTGGAACTATGCACTTACCATTATAAATTGAAAACTAATTTATTTAGAACTGCTTTTTGTGTTTAGTTTGTTGTCCTTCCCCTATACCTACAATTAGCACGGTTAGCTACATACGGTGCCAAAGAAGTTCAACATATAATTAAAAAACAAGAATAGGTTTTACCCTTTCTGGAAATAAAACAGGAGGTGGTAAGATGTTGAAACACCAAATAGGTACTTTTTGCAATGCATCAGGTCTGTATTAACCATACGTACTTGTGGAAAAACATGCAAACAAATATGCTCTGAGAATAATATACGCATTTTCTTTTAAACTGATTGGCCTACACCAGAGACAGCCTTCTTTTATGGCCTTGTCTCACCACCGACGTTAGACCAGAGAACGCCAAAAGGCGAATAGTACAAGGACGATGCATGTATCAGAACGCTTATAGCTCGGGTCCAGCAGTTATATCTATGGAATACCTTTTTGCCTGTATCAAAAATATTGAAAAAAATAAGAATAGGTTTTATACCCTTTCTGGCAATAAAGGTATCTCTTTAAACATCTTAACACCTGTTTTATTGCCTGAAAAGGTATAAAGCCTATTCTTATTTTTATCATTTTAAATACTGGCAAATAGGTCCCATAGATAAGTTCAACATAAACACACATTACAGGGACTGCTCTACTTACGAACGAGTTTCGTTCCATAGGTCTGTTCATAAGTTGATTTGTTCACAAGTCCAATTTTACTCTTATCAATTCCAATCATGTTGGGCTGCATGTACACTACATACGAGGAGAATGGCTTTCAAAGTTGTATTATCTCCTGTAAATGTAGATGCCACTGGTTCTTCAGGCTCTGTAGATTTAGATGCTGCCACCGCCATCTATTGCGCGGATGTTTAACTTACGACTCTCGGTCTGAACAGGCAACTGCACATACGAGACAGGTTTGTTCGTATCTCTGAAAGTTCGTAAGTCGAATGTTCGTAAGTGGAGGAGTCCCTGTATTATTATTTGGTAAATGTGAGCAAGCGGTGGCTGTTTTTCAGCAACATCATAGTCCATAACATTATCCCGCTGCAATAAGCTCCAACCACAAATTGTTCGGTGCTCCGCTTCAGCACCATAGACACTGCGCCCATGGCCCTCGTCGTCTATGAATTATCACGGAACAAGTAGGGGCAGCGAGACTCGTTCGGTTTGTGTTTAGAGCCAGCATCAGCAACGTACCGTGGCAACGCGATTGTTTTTCAGAGCCGACCCCTACTTGAGCGTGGTGAGTGATAGTGTCACACACAGTGAAGTGAAATCCTGTCAATGTATTTATCTATTACCCCTTGAGGGTTTCTCCAGATTCTAGATTTGAAGCTTTCGTGACTGCAAGGATTCATACTCTTTGGTTTTTTTCGGTAAACTCACATAGGTAAAATAAAATAAATGAAAACTAAATTAAATCACGACGTTTCGGAGGCAACACAAGCTTCCGTCTTCAGGTGGAACAGACACAGCAAAATTAGCTGTATCAAGTGAACAGCTCTGGGACACACGAGATTATATACAGGTTAAGGGGGGGGGAGGAGCCAGGAAGGGACGTGGGTGGGGAGGGGGGGGCTAAGTTAAGCCGCCTTTTGTTATTCTGCAGGGGGTTTTGGGGGAGGGGGTGGTGTACTTGCACGTAAAACCACCTTTTGTTATGCTGCAGGGGTTCGGGGGGAGGGTGATGGCGTGCTGCACGAGAGCGAGTACAATCCTGGTAGAAACGGAAATGGCTGTATAATTATAAGCCAGCTAAAGTTTGACTTGGTTGATGACATCTTTCCAAAAGTTGCTCAATTTAAAACCATCCTCTCGGTTGCAGTTGTGTCTGTTTGTATATCTGGATGGCTTCTTTGACAAATCTTTGGTAATAACCAGGAGGTTTGCATAGTGCTTTGGTATCGGAGAAAACAATGTCACGAGAACCCGCTGTGTTGAAACAATGATCAGCCACGGCCGAAGAATTCGTTCTGCCGTGTTTCAAATCTGATTTGTGCTCGCGAATTCGGTCAGAAATATGTCGTTTTGTCTCCCCGATATAGCAGTCACCACAGGTACAACTCAATTTGTAAACACCGGGGTACTGTAAGTCAGGAATGGCATCCTTTGATGTGGTCTCTTTTCACCAAGGTCCCAGTGCCTGACACCATAAGAATAATTGAAGATTTGGTCCAACATGGACTGAACCCTGATGTACCTGCACTGGTTAGGCACTGCCTCACCAACACTTACTTTACCTGGAATGGTACCTTCTACAAACAAAATGAGGGTACCCCTATGGGTTCCCCCTTGTCACCAGTGATAGCCAATGTTTTCATGGATAAATTTTAATCAGACGCCATCCAGACATCCACCCTTCGTCTTTCCCTGTGGATTAGATATGTCGATGACACTTTCGTCATTTGGCCACATGGCCTCCCAGCATTGAACCATTTCCTAGACCACATAAATTCCAGACACCCATCCATCAAATTCACCATGGAAGTGGAGAAAGATGGCAAGCTGCCATTCTTGGATGTTCTGTTTGAGAGGAGGACTGATGGCTCTTTGGGACATTCTGTTTACAGGAAGTCCACCCACACAGATTCATACTTGAAACCTGATTTCCACCACCACCCGGCTCAAAAGAATTATCTTATCAAAACATTATACCATAGGGCTCATTGCATTTCTGACCAACACCACCTGGCCAGTGAATTAAAACATGTACATCTGGCCCTCAAGATGAACGGATACTCTGACCGTACTATCCGCCAAGCTGTTTCTCCCACCATACAGAAACAACCACCTGATACTACAATGAAAACCATCACACTGCCATACATAGCAGGCGTTACCAAAAAGATTTCCAAAATTCTAAACAAACACAAGATCCAGGTCCGGTTCAATACAGTACACAAAATCCGTGATGTGATCCCATCCGTAAAGGAATGTCATTCCTGACTTACAGTACCCCGGTGTTTACAAATTGAGTTGTACCTGTGGTGACTGCTATATCGGGGAGACGAAACGACATATTTTTGACCCAATTCGCGAGCACCAATAAGATTTGAAACACGGCAGAATGAATTATTTGGCCGTGGCTGATCATTGTTTCAACACAGCGGGTTCTCATGACATTATTTTCTCCGATACCAAAGCACTATGCAAACCTCCCGGTTATTACCAAAGATTTGTCCATGAAGCCATCCAGATATACAAACATAGACACAACTTCAACCGAGAGGATGGTTTTAAATTGAGCAACTTTTGGAAAGATGTCATCAACCAAGTCAAACTTTAGCTGACTTATAATTATACAGCCATTTCCGTTTCTACCAGGATTGTACTCGCTCTCGTGCAGCACGCCATCACCCTCCCCCCGAACCCCCTGCAGCATAACAAAAGGTGGTTTTACGTGCAAGTACACTACCGCCTCCCCCAAAACCCCCTGCAGAATAACAAAAGGCGGCTTAACTTAGCCCCCCCCTCCCCACCCACGTCCCTTCCTGGCTCCTCCCCCCGTCCTTAACCTGTATATAATCTCGTGTGTTCCAGAGCTGTTCACTTGATACAGCTAATTTTGCTGTGTCTGTTCCACCTGAAGACAGAAGCTTGTGTTGCCTCCGAAACGTCGTGATTTAATTGAGTTTTCATTTATTTTATTTTACCTACGTGGTTTCTCCAGATGTTAGCGCTTGGCTGATTTTTTTTCTTTTCCCTCACCTTGGGTAGGAATGATTCCAGCTGGTGGAGAGATGAACTTTGTTCAAAGGTGCAAGATTGGGAGTGCAAACTCCTTGCGCAATCGGCCCTCCTGGATTTCGCAGGGTTAGGAACCACTCACTCATGTGACAGATTACTGCACGCTTGTGAAACATTCTCGGGAATAATATGTTCTATAAATAATAAAATGAAGTGATGTCACTCTCAAGTCAATATTTCTGCATTGTGCTTATTATTTTAACTTCATTAATCAATGATCATGCTTTTGTGTAAATGCTAAAATTGAATACTCTGACTTTGGTATAAGTTACGACTTCAGTATAAGTTACGGGCCTAATTCATATGCAGGTTTTGGTCTTCATTCAACATACGTTAGGATGCACTGCAAACGCTACAAGGATAAATCTGTCCACCAGAGCAATGACCCCAGTGGACGAGCAGAAAACCTTAAGATCAAGCGGCAGGCACTGTCCCGACACGACACCCAACAGGGTAGCAGCGAGTGTCCAGTCCTCAATGTCTCCTTGGAGCATTTCACTGCCCATGCCTGGATAAATGAGGTATCCATGACGACTCGAGGTGGGGGGGGGGAAGGTAGGTGACGAGTTTACCTGACCCTGCGTCTGCCTATCTCCCTCTACCGGTGCTCAATGAGCTTAGCCTTTGTGTCGTCTAATCACTTGGCTGTTATTGACTGCAGGCATGGGATAGCAGACTTGCATGGCAGTGTCTGAGGTAGTGAATATAGCTGTAAACAGCAGCCCCAAACGTACCATGTGAATTATAATCCGTTTTGCAATTGCCAAATATTCGTATCAAACTTATGCCGGTATGTAAGAAGGAGATGTGAAAGCGAAAATGCGCCGAGTAATATGCTTGGCAGCATAACGCGCGCGCCTGGTGCACAACGTGAAGTGGATTTGTCCGTTGAATCGCATTCGTTTTATTCATCGTTTATTTTGTTGTGCCATGGGCTCGTGCGCAGACGCGTTGCATTCAGAGCAGGTGATGCTGACCCACGTGGTGAATCCCAGACACTTCTACGTGCGGTACTACGCCGCTCGCTTCCGCAACGAGAAGCTAAACTTGGCGCTCTCCATGTACTGCATGGCCCACACTGAAAACTCTTCAGCTATACAAACCCTCACCATCGGTAACACATACGCATGCACACGCACGCTCACGCACAGGCAGTTGTGCCCCAATGCGTTTTTTATGATTATTTATTTTGAACCATTGCAGGAGGCGCAGATCAAGTTTCAACACAAGTTTTAGAATTATAGAATGTGTGCGACGTCTAGGCTTGGTGGCAGTTACTGTGTCTAACCGGGCTGCGTTGCGTGAGAGGTGACTCTCCTGGTCTCTGTGCGTCTCTCTCCAATTGAAAATAACTTGCAGTAGGCAGTGGGACGACTCCCTAAAACTCCTAAAGAAGGTGTGTTGATCATGTTGAGGGTTATTTTTTGTTAAAATACGGTAGACTCTATTATCCGCATGCAGTTTATCCGATTTGCTGATTAATCGCGCACCTGAGATTTTGACAAATTAATAACTCATATTTTCCCTTAAGCCCAAATTAATCATCTAAAAACAGTTATACATTGTTATTTTTGGAAATGTTTATTACAAGTTATGCGCTTAAACCGAACAAATATGTTGCTCTAGGTTGATCTGAAATCCACGTGATAGCATCTACAGTATAGTAGTTGCAAATCTTTACAACAGTGGGTGGAGTTTGATGTTGATTGGCGTGGCTCTGCTCCCATCCATTTGGTGGGCCGAGTCTTCTGTGCGGGAGCAGGAAAGTGTTATCACTGAGCACACACATCGAACAGTTGATCGTTACTGTTAGTTTTAAATCGAAAGAGTAACAATCAAAATTGTCAGTTGTGCTTCATTTTTTGTGATTTTTTCCATAATTTATTTTGTAAGTTTTAATTTACGAAACTGCGATGACAGAGAAGCATAAACATAATTTACAGCTAAGTGTTTTTTGGCATAGAAATCTGTGGATTATCCGCGATGTTTGAATTATCCGTGTAATCGAGAGTCTACTGCAGTTGTAATAACACGAACCTCCACGTTCCATATTTTTACTTGACCGCAAATCCGCGAATTTTTAAACCGAAAAGTGCGGAGTCACAATATTTTGAAGCGGCGTGAAACTACATTGAATCCACTCGCAAATAGCACAGCAGGGTTACTATAGTGGCATGGCAGTAATTAAGTATTACACTGTCAAAACAATCCAGGCGATGCGCCTTGGCATGGTGAGGAACAACAAAGACGTTGACACCCGAGGGTCACGATGAGCGAGAATGTTGTTCGGCCGGATAACTTGTGAATCTGCGGGGCAAACAGGAATACAATGCCGCAGCTGTCGAATGAGTGGATAGAATATGAATGTGTGTGCAGTGGTGTGGTGTGATTTATCGTCGTGTGAACTTTACCATGTTACCCGAGATTTGACATCCGTAGAGTGAACGCGGCAAAACGCTTTCTCACCACACGTCCCAAACCATCATCGTATTTCAACTCGAACGCTGCAAAAATTGTGAAAGAGTGAACGGGACACGCGCCTACTCCACTGCGGTGCGACCCATCGCTTTGCTAGGGCCCAACAACCTTCCTGCCCTCATTTTGAGTCTAAAAAACCTTAAACAACAACTCACCCTAGCGCTGGTTCTCAAGGAGTAGTCCGAGTCATCTCAGCATGCGTGTAAGTCCCTGGAATACCGAGACAAACCGCCACCCTCCGCCATAACAGAGACTGTGCATTGATGCGTAGTTGTCCCTCAGTCAACAGTAACATCAGTTAATGGTTTTTCGGTTAACGTTTTGCCTACCATAGGAACCCCATGGTTTCGATTAACATTAACATTTTGACTTACGTTAATAGTGTGACTAAAGGTACGTTTACGTTATGCACGTGGCCGCCAATTTCGACCAATCAAGAGTGCCCGTAAGAGGGGCTGAGCCATGCCATCAGCCAGTCAGCGACACCCGTTTATGGGTGTTTAGACCTCGACTAGCTTTCTTTACATTACTTCTGTTTTCGCAGTGGGACAGAGTCGTGCATGTAATACCTATATTCGATTAACAGTTATTTAGGTTAACAGTTTTCGTGGAACGGATTAAAAACGTTGTCTGAGGGACTTCTGTATAGCTTGACGGTCATGTACATCTTATAACAACAAAATCATGAAATGTGGTAAATGGTTTAAATTTAGCAGCTTTTGAGTTGCCAGGAGGAATTAGGTTTGAAATCCAAGACATAATTTAAATTCTGAAAAGTAAACTTGTGATGTGTAACTACTGCGCCGAGTAGGCCACCAACAGACTAATTCGCGTTTTGTTCTCGCAGGTGAGGTTCTGTGCATGCGGAGCTGTGTCAGCAATAAGTGGCACCGCGTCAAAATAATTTCTATCCGGGCCGGCGAGAAGTTGTGCGGTTCTGTGCAAGTGGAGGGAGGAGAGGGCACGGCCAGCCTCGGGCCTTTACGAAGCGTCGCATTGCAAAGCACGGTGCCAATTTTCCACCGTGAAGAAGTTCCACCTGAATTGGAAGGCGTCCCTAACTCGATGGGCACTGAACCATTTCTCTTTGTATACAAAAGGGTCGGGAGAGTGTTTGACGAGCGGGGGTCGGAAAACGACGCGTCGTTCGGAGTGGCGACAGCGGCCGAAATTACGTCATCTGTGGAAGCTGGGCATGTGGCCGATGAGGGCGTTGTGGGGGCGAGAGGCAGCACTGCTGAGCAGGCCTCGCCCCACGCCGGGCAGACGCTGCATGCGGATGAGAAAAGTGGCGGTGGCGGCTGTGGCGTTGTCGAGGCAGATAATCTCCCTCTGCTTGAATGCACGTGTCCCGAACCCCCCGGCGTTTGTGGCTTGACCACGAGCTCGCAAAAGCAAGAGGACCCAGATGGCAAACGCGCAGATGCGCGTGGAGAGGGTGATGTCGCCGAACAGAACCTGTCCACCCATAAGAGCGCCGAACTTGGCTGTGGAATCGGTGAATTGAGCGACGGAAAAATTGGAGTGGTGTTGGATCTGCTCCCCTGTTTGGAGGAAATGAAAATGATCGACGGTGTCTTGGAATGCGGCTGGGAACACGAGGACAACGGTGTTGCTGCTGCACCTGACAGGAGCCCAGGAGTGGAAACTGAAGCCCAAACAAGCGCTGACACTCAGTCGCCCAGACCGGCCTTTGTTTCACAGGGAGCGTCCTCATTCCCCATTGACAAAGTAACCAGGCTGAACGTTTTCCTGGTGGATGAAGGAAGAACGGAAGTGTTTTACGTGGGAAGGTATTTTCATTCTAAATAAGAACATCTTTAAGATGTGCGTGTGTGCGTGGATTTGTTTATAACTTTTTAAATGGCCCGGTGGCAAGCGATGCTCGGTAACCTTACATTTGGGGAGTTGGTGGCTGAATTTAGTGCAATAATCCACATGCTTTTTTCCATCTCACTCTGATATTTCCTGCATTTCTCCACTTAAAGGGTGTTTAATTTCCCAACTTCTCTGCTGGGTAATCCTCGTTGCGGGGGTTTAAGCCGTGTTACGGGGCATAGGCTGGTGCTGTGATGATGACCGCTGTGAGATCTCGAGTTTGATCTCCAGCCATGGCCAACAGTGGGGTGATATCTAAACCGACCTCGGCCTGAATGAGCTCCAGAACCTCATCAGATCGGTTTTTGGGATTCATTCCTTCCTCGTTTATAACGAGTGTCTTGTCAATTTATCTGTGCTGGTATTTTATAAGACGCTTTTTTCTCTTTTGCACCTTTTAGCCAGGATAAAAATTATGAAAAATAAGAATAGGCTTTACCCCTTAAGTTGCATTAAGAAGTTCAACCACCAAAATAGTTACTTTTTGCAAGGCATGAAGTCTGCATTAACCACACATTTGTGGCAAAACATGCATTGTCCTTGACACTTATTGGCCTTACACCATAGACTGCCTTTATGGCCTTGTTCGCGAACAGTACAAAGACTTTGTCCCATTCGCCTTGCGGCGTTCTCTGGTCTAACACTGGTGAGACAGCCATTTCTAAAGCAATTTTTAAAATTCTCATTGACTGCACTCCGTTAGAAATAGTGTGGTGTTTTTTTTTACTTATTTGTGGGGCAGATGAGAGTGCATTTCAGTAATCTGAAATGTGCATTTCAGTAATCTGAAATGCACTCTCAGCCTTGTACAGGTATCCTTCGATTTATAGAAGGGATGCGTTCTTCAAACACACGACGTAAAAACGAGATTTCCTAAATCGGGAACGCTTATTCCCTTTAGTTGAACACTAACAATTATGGATGTAGTCATTCCAACTCTACTTCTAACCTAAAAACACGCCGATATTGCGTTTCAAAAGAAAAAATAATAACAAATATTGAAGCGATTGAATAATCATTAAAAGGTAATTAACCTTTTCAGGGAACTCGCAAAAGATCCGCTGCGTGTTGGAATGCCCGGCAAGGTCATGTCGAGGCATTGCTGTTGCACTGCAGGGACACCATGGTGGCTTCTTGTTTGCTGATCTCACGGCGCGTGTGGCCCTAGTGACATTTTTTTAACGGTGAAATCCGATTTCCTTCATTGAAAAAGTGTCCATAATTTGTAAATTGGCGTTCCCGTGAAATTCCGTAAACCGAACGTTCGTAAATGGATACCCCGCATTGTTATATCTGCCATGGACGTATTACTCATCACACCTGTACACGTACGTGAGTCCGTGTGACACTCGACAGTTAAAATAAGTGCTCGTGCGTTCCAGTGAACGTGCGCTCAAGCAGAGCAGAAGGAATGCCGCGTGTGTGGTTTCGGATTTGAGGCCACACCTTCGTCGTCCAGACCCCGAGCTCCTGAAGCTGTTCGAGAAAATCCCAGCGGCTGCCATACGCTGTGCTCTCAAGGATGTGGTGCCCTTCGTCGCGGTGAGTCGCACGCTACCACTTTCGTCACGGCGACTCGCGCCATGACCGTCGTCATGGTGACTCACCACGATCGTCACAGTCGCACGCTACCACTGTTGTCTCGGTGACTCAAGCAACATCCGTCGTCAAGGTGAGTTGTATGCCACAATCGTCATCACGGAGACTCAAGCCACAATGGTCGTCATGGTGACTCGCTCCACGATCGTCGTCACGGTGACTCGCTCCACGATCCTCGTCAAGGTGACTCACGCCACGACCGTCGTCACGGTGACTCGCACGCCCCGACCGTTGTCACGGTGACTCATGCCACGACCGTTGTCAAGGTGAGTCACATGCCACGATCGTCAGTGACTCATGCCACGACCGTCGTCATGGTGAGTTGCACGCCATGATTGTCGTCATGGTGACTCGCACCACGACCGTCATGGTGTGACTCGTGCCACGTCCGTCATCAAGGTGAGTTGTACGCCACAATCGTCATCACGGAGACTCATGCCACAATGGTCGTCATGTTGAGTCGCGCGCCACGATCGTCGTCACGGTGAGTTGCACGCCACAATTCTAACGTGGGCCGAGACAGCCACATGTTATTCTGCAGGTTAACTTGGGAGAGTCAATTGCAGAAATGAACCGCGTGTGTTCTTTATGGCTTCGTTATTTTATAGTTTTTCCCCAGTTCCAATTGTGCTGTCAGCATCAAGCAGTGAGATGCCCTCTCCAGTTCTGTTGCTAGCAGTGCATCACTTTGTGTCCGTGAATGGCTCCAGAAGGGTTACATCAGAGAATTGTTTCTGGACTTTCACCCACATTTGAGGCACACATTTTTATTTATTGCAAATGGTGTTTCTCGCGTGTCAATCAAACCAAATGTGTACATCTCAGAGCTAGAATTTGGCCAGACGTTTAAGTGTGAAAAGATTTAACCTTATGTGTGTGCAGTCAGTGACCTGGCTGACCATTGAGATGTTAACTACCTTGCCTGGTGTACAGGAGATTATGGGTTCGATCCCGACCCTGGCGCGTACTGTATATTTGGCGTTTGTATGCTCAACCCGTGGATTGCCTGGATATTTCTTCAGGTCCTCTAGGTTTTTCCCTCCATATTTATAATCGACATCACACATTTTAGAGTATTTGGCTGCAATACATTTCCCCTCATCATGACAACTCGTTGTTTAGAGGCAAGGTCGTTCTAACTTATTAGGCTGAAGCTGGGCTCTCTCGAAAGATGTTAAATATAAACGAGGCGGGGGGAACCACTTGGCTGAGGTTAAAAATACAATGAGATTTTTGCGTTTAAATTGTATGAAAAATGTTTAATTGTGCACTTTTTTATTTAGTATATACTCTATCACAAAGGAAGAAATGTGCATGTAATAATGCATACTGCCGAGCACAATCGGTGTATTATTGCATGTACACATTGTGTATTAATATGACGGCGGCGGGAGAACGTCACATTTGCCGTGTCGCGAGTCATGTTTTTTTTTTCCCCCGTTGTGTTTTTTATTTTACGTCTGGCTCTGTGCGCTTATTCAGGGTCAGGGTTGGAGTGTGGAGTCGAGCAAAGCGCTTGCCAAGATGCTCCGTGGACAGATTGTTCACATGGTCGTGGCTGCCAGAGCCGGCGACGTATTCATCGTGGACCTCGTGAAGTCCCCACACAGCCAGGTGGAGAACGATGTCCCGGTGTCGCTCAGAGATGCCCTCGTCTTCTTAGAGCTTGCCAGGTACTGTGCGCACGCGTGGTGATAAATGTTTGCGTGTCGTCACGGTGTAATTGTGTGTTACGCTCATGATGCGTGCATTGCGATTCGTATGGTCGCCTCGCGTTTTACGTGCGTTTACGTACGCGATTTTGGAATTGGCGCATCAGATTAATTTGCGCTTATTTTTGTTACGCGCGCAACTATTGTAATAACGTGCTTGAGCGCATTGGGGCACGCTGTACGGAATGCGCTGCGAGCTGATCGTTAGTAAGGGCGGCAAAGTTTCGGTAGTGATGCTGCCTGAGGTGCAGCAGCAGTATGACAACAACCAGAAGCGCGGGACAGCAGAATCAGTCAGCATTTCCTCCTCGCGCGACGTTTTGAAGATCTTTGTCCCATGTGAACTTTGTCTTGTGCACTCATTTGATTATGTCGGATAAGAATCTCACTACGTGTTAAAAAGTTTTTTACTTAATTTTTAAAAATATTTTACTTATTTAAACAGGGCTTTTTACTCTTAATGAATGTCTGTAGGTTTTGTAAATATAATGTGTACCTATTGTTACCAGTGAAATATGTAGATGTAAGAGTGAGGTTTAATAGCGTGCTCTCCCTCACCCCAACCGTTTCCTTTATTTCTAATGGGGAAAATTCTGTTTAATTTAGGCGATTTTGAGTTGCTCTGCCGTTTGTCAATGACACGACCCCCACGTAAGACGAGAGGTAGCTGTATAATATTACTCTTAAGATTTAAATTCTGTGCCAATTCTGTGCATTGTCAGAACGTGCAAGATGTAGCACCAATGAGTCGCTGTTGGATGAGATGGCGCAGACCAAAAGCAAACGATATAAATTTGATACGACACGGGACACGGTCCGGTTGATGGTACAGATCAACATTTCAAACAAGGCAAGGGCCTATTCCTCAAACATAGTGTAGATTCACGAGCTCTGGGGGATTACAAATTGTTGCGCGCCTAGAGAGGGAACTTTTACAGACGGGTCAGATGGCAATCGGTCATTATTGTTGAGGAATGCTGCCCCATGTTACAGTTGATAGGGGATGTAAACACACAGACAGTGGCTTTAACATGGCAGCTTTCTTTGTTTCTCAGTAAAAATCTGGTAAAGATGTTTATTAATGGTGAATAAACATTAATAGGTTTTACCCTTTCTGGCAATAAGACAGGAGGTGTTAAAATGTTTAAACACCAAATTGATACCTTTTGCAAGGCATCAAGGCTGCATTAACCACACATACTTGTGGTGAACAAGAAAACAAACATGGTCTTGATAATCTACGCATTGTCTGTGAAACTGATTGGCCTACACCAGAGACAGCCTTCTTTATGGCCTTGTCTCACCACCGGTGTTAGACCAAAGAACAATGCCAATAGGGGACCATGTTCATTAAGTTTGTTGAGCCAGCTGGCCATGATTGAGCAAGACTTTGCCCACTTTTCACCCTGACAACTGGAGAGCACATACTAACAATCATAACATTTAAGTATCACACTGAAGAGAGCGTTGAAATAAAACTTTCAAATGTCATCAATGGGTTCTTGTATCATGATTTGAAGCTTTCGTGACTGCAGGAATCCATAATCTTTGGTTCTTTCAGTAAAGTCACGTAGGTAGAAAAATAAAATAAAAAATCATATGTCACGACATTTCAATCGCAACACAAGTGGTGGTCCTCAGGCGGAAAAAATAATCTAGCAGTGGAACTGCTGAACCAGGAAGAAACACAGCGAGAGAGCTGTTACAACAAGACGTTATATATGTGGCGAAGGGCAAGCAGGCGGGGTCTGAGCTGGATAGGAATTCCATCCCCGCACGCAAGCACGTAATTTGTGTTAATGGGGGAATTTAGGGAGAGAGAGATTAGGGAGAGAGATTAGCATGAAATGAGCTTCCGTCGCCGCATTTGAGTATCATCCCCGCATATGCGCACAACAGCAGTGTTAATGGGAGATTAGCACTGTTGATGGGAGAGATTAGGCAGAGAAATTTGGGGGATTAGCAAGTTAATGTCATGTCTATGTGTAGCACAAGCTGCGGCGCTGCCAACTGCGCTGTGTTTTTCTTTTGCATTCTGATCACAAGTATTGTGGTTAGTGCAGACATGATTCCTTGTAAAAAGGTTTCAGTTTTGTTGCCAGAAAAAAGGGAAAAACCTATTATATTTTGGTACTGGCAAAGGAGGTCTCATGATATAGATGCTTACCCTCATTACTTTGGTAGTGCATTGTCTTTGAGCTGTTCGCCTTTTGGCGTCCTCTGGTCTAGCACCGTTTGAGAAGAGGCTCAAAAGAAAGCTGTCTGGTGTGGACCAATCAGTTTCAAGGACAATGCATATATTATCAGAGGTTTTTTTGCATTCTGACCACAAGTATTGTGGTTAATGCAGACATGATTCCTCGTAAAAAGGAGAATTTTATTGTGTTATTTTATTTTATCAATTTATTATTTTATTCTCATTCTACGTGACTTTACCGAAAGAACCAAAGAAGAAAAAGGTTTCAGTTTTGTTGCCAGAAAAAGGGGAAAAACCTATTATAGTAACTGGTGCATTTTATTTACGTAACAAACCCCTACTAATTGGCTGTGTCGTATGGTTGTGGCGGGTTTAACGACACATTAAAAAATGTACGCCATATCACCCAAAACAAAAAAAACCTTATAGTTAATATTGGTCGCGAACGCTAACTGCGTGTAAAAAGGAGATTGAATGTAATGAGTTTTGTTATTTTGTGGTGCAGATCAAAAATTCTACAGCAAAGTAACAATAATTATATATAAGTTCTTTAATTGCCTTATAGATAGTTTTTTTTTGTGTTCGATTGCGATCTAAGCCAAAAAACCTCTTTATGTGTGTGGTATTTATTATTGTTGCGTGCAGGTTCCGGTGCAAATCCGCACCACTCTCCGTGCCAGTCCACAGGCCCAGTCATCAAGCCTTCATTCCACCCAGCAAACTCCAGCCCCTCACGTGGTTCTGCCTCATGTTAAGCCACATAAACAGTCCCAGCGACTTCTATGTGCAGCAGGTAAAGAGCTCGCCGGGCCCCAGCATGCAATTTGCATCTGTTGCACATGTTTTTGCCCTTGGGTCAGACCATGCTCCGCGCGTGATTGTTGTACGGTGTGTGGCGATGCATGTAACGTGTAACACCAAAAAGAGATTTTTGCCACAAATGCAAAATCATGCCAGAAGTGTATCTTTTAATGGGCAGTGCCTTTCTCGTCGGCGCTGTGGACATTGAATTAGTTTTCAGGTTATGCCTGAAGTGGGCGTCACGGTGGCGAGACGTTAACTACCTCGCCTGGTATACAGGAAGTCGTGGGTTTGATCCCGACCCTGGCGCCTGTAGATTTGGAGTTTGCGTCTCCCCACGGTCATGTGGATTTTTCTCTGGGTTCTACAGGTTTTTCCTCCACATGTAGAATCAACATAATGTGTTTAGAGTATTTGGGCTGCTATACATTTCTACGTGATAAGAAACTTCGCTGAGCTATCAATTATAGCCAGGTCACTTCTAAATAGGTCAGTGGGCCTTACCTGGTAAAATAAAAAAATTGTGAATAGTTTATACAAGTGACTTTAGTGCCAGTTCTCAAAGAGCGGTCCCAGTCACCCAACTGACCACAAGCGCTGTCCCCCAGACAGTCTCGTCCCTTCACCTGATGAAGGCCGCTTGTGTTGTGGCCGAAACGTCGTGATTTTTTGTTATTTTATTTTCACCTACGTGACTTTACCCAATAGAACCAAAGAGTATCTTGGAGGCATTTATATCTTGGAGGCATTCCCAGAATCTGCACATGGTTGAGACAGACAAAGGTCACCCATGTAGCCTCTGCTGACTGTAGGGGCAAGTGCTGTTAGTATGGAGTAGCAACAATAGCAGCGCTTGTTGAGGGCCAACACTGGCACACAGAGGGGGTGGTGGGCCATATTGACCCAGGTATTTTATGCACTGCACTAGGTACTCATTTGAGGCTGAGTCGAACTAGGGGAGGTCCAGGACCAGTTCAGATAACGTCACTGGTGTGGGCCATGAGCTGGGGTCGAACTAAGTTTCTAGCGCAGCATGTTAACCGCTACACTACCGCTTCCCCTACACGTACAAGACGCATACGTGTTCACACGTATGCGTCTTGTGGAAGACTTTGCTGTTTTTTCCAGGATTTTTCTGTTGTGTGTCGTCACTTTAAGATGTTTCTTGTTCATGTTTTTGTTTTGTTGCAGTTGCACCTGAGTCAAGAGCCACATGGCTCACAGGGTTATACCTAATAAATGAAACTGTTTTCATTTTTTTTTCAGTTTCATTTATTAGGATTTACCCTGTGAGCCATTCGGATCTTGATTTGGGTGCAACCGCAACAAACAATACAATTACAAGATACACCTAAAATTCATTGTACACAAATCTAAACATCACATACATAAACAATAAAATCCTACAGAAAAAGCACCACCCGTCCATGCTGTGTACAAAACGTGCAAAAACAATTATTTCGATGTTTGATCTCAATAACAATACAATACAGATAAATATGTTAAGTCTAAATCTATACTAAATAAAAAAAATCGGGCCAAACCGACCCCCGCTAAAACTTATTAAAACAATGCTATATAAACAACGTAACAGTTTTCCCAACAAATGTGATTAAAAGTTTACAATAGCGACACACACAACACACATCACTAAACCTAGCATCCTTTGCTAGCTGCATAAGTCAATCCATAACAACCGGATTAACAATAGCAGTAGCAGCGCACTATAATAAAAATAATAGTAATTTCATACATCGGTCATCTATAGCTATATTTTTTATTTCAGGCCACATGATAGCAGTGGCAGCTATGGTTGTACGACAACTCTAGAGCATTTTTGAGTGATTGTCTTGGTGGTAATGATCCAAGCTGGGGGCATCTATAGCAAAAGCCCTTTCTCCAGTATTTGTACGGCAATTAGGAATGCGAAGCTGGTAAATGAGCGAAGATCTTAGCTCATATTTGTTTCCCGAAACAATGAGGAGATTCATTAGGTAATCTGCGGATTTTTTTGTAAGTACATTGTAAATAAATAATATCTGATGCATAATACTTCGATCATTAAGAGATGTTAAGATTGGCCCAATGTAATGAAACTGAACTGAACTGCTTTGCCACTCACCGCCATCATGGAGACTGTGCATCGATGTGTAGCTTGACCCTAATGCACATTTTCTTATGAAAAAAAACACATGAAATGTGGGAAAAGGTTTTAAGCTGCTTTTGAGTTGCCAGGAGGAAGGAGGTTTAAAGCTAGGTGCGGGGCTCACCGTGCTTGTCCTGGCACGGCAGTGCGGTCTCACTGTGTTTGTCCTGCACGGCAGTGCGGTCACACCGTGTTTGTCCTGGCAAGGTAGTGCGGGGCTCACCGTGCTTGTCCTGGCACGGCAGTGCGGTCTCACTGTGTTTGTCCTGCACGGCAGTGCGGTCACACCGTGTTTGTCCTGGCAAGGTAGTGCGGGGCTCACTGTGCTTGTCCTGGCCAGGCAGTGCGGGGCTCACTGTGTTTGTCCTGCACGGCAGTGCGGTCACACCGTGTTTGTCCTGGCAAGGTAGTGCGGGGCTCACTGTGTTTGTCCTGGCAAGGTAGTGCGGGGCTCACTGTGCTTGTCCTGGCCAGGCAGTGCGGGGCTCACTGTGTTTGTCCTGCCATGGCAGTGCGGTCTCACCGTGTTTGTCCTGGCATGGCAGTGCGGTCTCTCCGTACTTGTCCTGTCAGTGTGGACTCACCTTGTCCATAATATAGGTTTTTTGGGTTAGATCGCGTAAATATATAAATGTGTCGTTCAACCCGCCACCACCTGACACAGCCAACTAGTAAGGGTTGTCACATAAACAGAACATGCCAATTCGTCACTAGTACAGCACACCGGTGTGTTGGAGAGCCAAGCCACAACATTTACAATCTGAGTATGACGTTTCAACAATAATTACAACTAGCTTCATCAGGTAACAGCCAGATTTGTGGAGAAGTCCACCTGTTTCATTCCTTATATGGAGGCGTATATGTGGTGACCACACTTATGCGCTCTTGCTGAAAGTGTGTATTAAAATAGCCATACCAACGGTAATCCTTATTTAAGTATGGTGGCCTATATAGGCATGCATTTAAACAATGTGTTATTTGATCATTCGCTTCCACGCAGTACGAAGTCGGTAGCTATCCGAACAGGTAAAAAAACATTTTAATTTTGATAGATTTTTCTAATTAGTCTTGGCCAGTAGTAGCTAGTTTTGTACAGAACTTCAACATTATTAAAACCAATTCAGTGTCCATGTTGGCACGTGTGTTCTGCTTCTGCTGACATTTGGATTTGGGAGTATTTAATACTTCTTTGGTGTTCATTTCGTCTCGTGCTGATCATTCGTCCTGTTTACCCACCATAGCATTTGCCACAAGTGCAGTTAATCCTGCTGCACACCTTCTTTTCATTGCTTCGGTAATACATATTTTGTACCAGATATTTTTTCTGTATTTTATGTACCATGCTAAATCTGACTCGGATGTTTTGTTTTTCCAAACATCTGGCTAGTTTATCAGTTACTCCTGCAATGTAAGGTATTTTGATCGTTTTAATTGCTTAGTTTAAATGCTCGTCTTTTTTATTTGGTTTTGGCATTCAATGTCCTGTTGATTTGTGCATCACTTATAACCGTTCATTTGCGGCGCTTCTTTAACATGTTTAATTTCACTTCTCAGACTCCCCATCTGACACTTTCTTAGCCCGATGAATGAGTGTATTGATAAGAACAAATTTCTGTGCGGGGTGATGGTGTGACTCTGCATTCAGATAGGTGTAAGTATGCGTTTTCTTTCGGTAAACGCTGTTTGTTATTTTACCATTTCAACCCCGTCCGAGCAGACTCCAGAAATGGTAGAGTTCTGTCAGCTTCCACTTCCATGGTAAACTGGATGGATGGGTTTTGCGAGTTGAGATGTTTTAGAAATTCGTTCAGCGTATCTTTACTGTGTGGCCAGACTACCAATGTGTCATCCACATATCTAAACCAAGCAGAGGGTGTGTGTGCTTGAAGCTATTGATTTTGTTTCAAAAATTTCCATGTACAAATTCGCTATCACAGGAGACAAAGGAGAGTCCGGGTCTTAAAAATATTTCAAAACAACTCTTCAAAATCTAACAGCAGTGCTTACTGACTGTGGTGGTACCTATGATTACAGCAGTGCATACTGTGGTGGTACCTGCTATGATTACAGCAGTGCATACTGTGGTGGTACCTGCTTTCAATGCAGCAGTGCATACTGTGGTGGTACCTGGTATTATTACAGCAGTGCATACTGTGGTGGTACCTGGTATTAATACAGCAGTGCATACAGACTGGTGGTGCCTGCTATGATTACAGCAGTGCATACCGACTGTGGTGGTACCTGCTCTCACTACAGTAGTACATGCTGACTTTATAGCAGTATTTATTGACTGTATCGCACAAAGTACCTGACAGAGTGGCGTGGTGAGGCCGAGTCCCATGCAGAGCCTCCGGCCTCGCCTAGATTGTCCAGCCGGCTGAAGTGGCACCTTGGCAGACTGGGGCTGGGCTGTTACCCCTGACCCCCCCTCCAGCCACTAGCGACTGTATAGCAGTAATAACTGCACGCATCGGGGTGGGGGGGACATCACACAGTGAATAATTTAATTGAGCGTTTAGTGTATTTTTATAGCATTTTTAACGTGAAAGAAAATGTCCCTCTCACTCCCACCGAAGGCGTGCGAATTGGCATTGGCCGTCCCCCCCACGAAAGGCGCGTGAGTTGGTATGGTCGTGCACGCATCATAAATAAATAAAAGGGAAGCGCACAAAAATTGCACTAAATCGCTAATTAAACTAATTAAAAGTTGACGGATGTGAAAAAGGAATAGCGCTTGCTCACCGCAGGGCTTACGGCACCTGGCTATTTTTATTTTTTTACGTAAACCCCACCGTTGGAGAGCCAAGTGCGTGACCACACACAAACCCTGCCACAAACCCCGCCAC